TACACTCCCCTAGCTCTAACCCCGCCCCTGACCATCTATGGTTGCAGTTGATATTGTTTTAACCTACGCCGGAATCATTGCATATTTCTACTCCAAGGTGAGGTTTCGTAAATTAGGAAGAAAGTTATTTTGCATTATATACAATACCACATAATTTTTACAAAACGTCTTGCCAACTTGGCTCGCAATAATATATGTACAAGTTCACATTAAAAAAAGTCAAAACTGTCCAACATCTTCCATCATCACCAATTATGTGCACCTAGCAATGTAATGTCAATGATGTCAGACGAACATGTGGAGCGGGCTATGGTGAAGGGCTTTCTTTGAAAAAACAACCATAATGATTAATGTGATCTAAAATTTCTTTAGCCTTTAAAATTTTATGGCTGCATGGAAAGGGTATTAAATACCTTTTAACCATTAATGGCTCATCATAACCACTTAAAGTTCTTAAAGAGAAGATCAATTAAATTTATAATTATACTGTACTCTTTCATGTCTGCAAAAAGGTGCAATACAGAGTTTCCACATGGTAATGAAATAAAAACGCCGGAATATATTGGGTCATTGCTTTTGAACACACTGTAGAAGGCAACGTCAATTCAGAATTCAACGGGTTTTTTACAAAGACAAATCGATTGTGACAATGGCATCTTGCAGCTTGGGTAAAGTTCTTGGCCTTGGGCTGATACTCATTCTTTCCGTGATGAGTGAGGTAAGTTTTATCTCAAACGTGCGGCCAGTGCATGGTTTAGTGTGCATGGGTATTAGATATCCTCCCGTAGTGTGTGCCCGAACTATCTGAAAAAGATATCTCAAACATGGTGATTCAATGATAGGTAGTATTCTATATTCGTGGTGGTTCAGTGTAGGTATAATACTCTACAACAAGCTGCCGTGGTTTGTGTCCGAACTACCTGAAAAAGATATCTCAAACGTGGTGCAATATATAGGTAGTATTCTACAATAAGCTGTCGTGGTTTGTGTCCGAACTACCTGAAAAAGATATCTCAAACATGGTGATTCAATGATAGGTAGTATTCTATATTCGTGGTGGTTCAGTGTAGGTAGTATTCTACAACAAGGTGCGTGGTTTGTGTCCAAACTACTTGAAAAAGATATCTCAAACATGGTGATCAGAATAAATAGTATTTCACAATATTCGTGGTGGTTCAGTGTATAGGTGGAATACTACAATAATATCATAGTTGCCTCGAAATCCTTTGTCTCGCGAGGTACGATTACCAACTAATTTACCTCATTACCCATGCATACGCTTTGTCTTCTAAATTTACCCGGTAAATTTAGTTGAAAACAAAGGATTTCTTTGTCTTCTAATCTTCCCCTGCATGCTTGATGAGGGAAATTTAGAAGACAAAAGCGTACCTCATTACCTCTGATTGGAGAGCTGTACCTCATCGAAAACCATCGGCACAATTATGGACAATATCTGACGACACCGTCCCGTACACATTCGAACAATCACTTTGCCAGCTTTTATTCCCTAATCTTGAACATTACAATTGTGGGAGAAAATTCCGTTTATGGGCATGCCTAAAACGAATGAACACGGAGATGTGTTTCTGCGCGTGCGTATATATGAAAAGTGTTCGTACCACAATCATAAGACAATCAAACAGCATTCGAAACAGGCAACACACCACGCGCGATTCCCTCGGCAACCATGATATTACAAAGTAATAGCATGGCATTACGGTCGATTAGTGATGAAATGTTCCTCAAGCCTCGAGAGGTTTAGTAACCTCTCTCGGCTTTCGGGTACATTTAATCACTAATCGACCTGAATGCCATGCTATTACTTATAATAAGCTGCCGTGGTTTGTGTCTGAAATACCTGAAAAGGATATATCACTTAGCCAAACAAAATGAGCTACGTTTTGCCGGATAATTAATTATGCTGCCGAAGTTAGAAGGGCCTTCACTCGAGACGTCGATTCAGACTTTCTCGTTTCTAACAAAAACTTTTGTTATTTCAGGAGTGTGTTGATGATCATTCTCCTTGTGACCCAACCGCCGACCCAGCAAAACAATGTTCTCCAATTTGCTCTACTGGAGGTCCAGGGATTTGTGCTGGTTTCGGCAAGTTCCCATCGGTCTGCTTTCCCGATCTCGAAGATGGAACGCTAAATGAGTAATGGCGTTGCACCTTGGCAGGCTCATAGAAGAAAAAATAAAATGAAGCCATTGAAGTAATTGCAAATGGCGTATCACGATTTTAGTTTCATTGTACTTTATATCTTGGATTTTATCGTTATCTTTTATTGCATGGAATTATTGTATTGTAGTTTGAGTTATTTTATTGTAATGTTTTCATGGATGTAATTGAAGGGGGTGTATGAGCCCCGCCCCCTTATTGAAATTTCCTTTCACTATAGATCTATTCTGAGACACCCTTATAAGCTTTTCATCAGGACTGATAGTAATATTTTGAAAATATAACAAATTTTTGGCACAAATTATCGGCACTCACGGCCAGTGGTGTCAAGTAATGAAGTAAATGTACTTCGTTACTGTACTTGAGTACTATTTTTGAGAAGTGAGCATGTAACAAAGTAAACTTTTTCTGCAGTACTTTTACTTGGAACGAAGTCGTTATAAGAAGTAACGTTTTACTTCGTTATTTTCATTTTGTGGCGAAGTATTTCGTTACTTTCTAACTTTTGTTTAATTTTACGTAATTTATTCCCAATTTATTTTACGTTTGGGATAGGTAATAGGACCTCTACATGCGTTTGGGATCTCTCGTTTGTGACTTACTTATATAAGCATTATTTATTTAATGTATTTCTTATATCTTCAGCGGGGTCTGGAAAGTAGACCATGCCGTGAAATATTGTATATTTATAATGCGTGTGCTGTTTTGTGTTTTTTGTATCTCAATCCATGAATGGAGAAGTCCCCCCTCCACACACTCTACAGACAATAGTACTTTTACTTTTACTTTTAATTTGTACTTCAAGTATTTTTTAAGGATACTTTGTACTTTTTACTTAAGTACGTTTTGCCTCCAGTACTTTTTACTCTTACTCAAGTCGTTTTATTGTTAATTACTTCTACTTTTACTCGAGTATAAATTCAAAGTAATTTAGGCACCACTGCTCACGGCTAGGCAATGTAAATTACGTTTCACAACCGACACAAAAGTCCGTGACTTTCACATTTCACTGGAACAAATATTAGCAATTCACGGCTCACGAAAATGCCCCTTCAATATCACCCTCTTACTACACCACTGGATGTTTTATATTGCCTAGAGACGTAGAGTGAATTTATTCTTTGTTCGTCGAACACTTTTAACACGAATTCGTTTTGACGCAATTAAGGGTATCCCCTGAAACTCCAAAGATCATTGAGAATATATAGTATACTTTTTCGGCAAAACTCCCAGAAAATCTTGCCAAAATTCTGCCTGCAGCATTTGTGACATCCTTATAAAAATCCACGAGGAGATCTCACAAAATGCTTAAAAATCCCTGAAAAATGAGTTAGTAAAATGAATTAGTTCACGACCCCCATAGAAAGTTAGGGCTTACTAAGTCAACCATGTGACGTATGCATGTAGTGTGCATATGTATCAGTGTATTAATGAATTATTACTGTACAACTCATCCAATTTTGCCCTTTATTGCAATTATATAATTACTACAAGTTTCTTTCAAAACATTGCAATAAAAGGGTACTTGACACAGAGATGAATGGCTATCACTGTTTCTATTTTAGAGTTTGACAGAGAAACTTTCTTACATAAACCCTAAGTGCAAAAATGTCAAATTTTCACTTTGATCTATCATTGAAACGTACCCAAGGGGGGAGGTGCATGACTTTTCAGGGGAGGTAAAAATTGAGGTGCGGCAATGATTACGCGAACGTCTCCACTTTCACAATAAAAGCTGTCAGATCTGTCGACTATAATTGATTGTTTTTAATCCCACAGAGTTCTAAGGGGGTACAGGGACCCTGGAAAAAGTTTGAAATCTAGAGTCTCTGAAAAGGTATTCCTCCGTTCTGGGGAAGATTTCAAAATTGAAATTCAAATGACTATCATATCTCAACGATTGAAACTGATCTTAAGACTTAACCACACACAACAACATCCTGTTTCCAGCCACGACCGCTGTCAAAAACCAACTCGTTAATTATCATAGTATTAGAATGAGTGTGGGAAATGACGTCTGCGTTCGCAGGCTACATTTATATAGGCTTTGGACTGTTTTGAAATTTAGATTACCCGCTATGACTCGATAGAGCACATTTTCAGGATATCTATTTACCTGACATAAAGATGATGTCCACTCCGTTCTGTGCATCAGTTCTGCTCATATTAACAAAGGGGGACCCCCAGATATAAACATTGCCCAAATTTTGCATCTTTCGAACTTTTCTGAATTGAACGTAGAGTTTATATTCATTTACAAGCATAGCAAACCAGAAAAGTGTTAGATATTCAGTTAGTATATCATATTTTACAAATATAGCAGTTCAAAACGTAAACAAAGTTCGCACATGGGCACACGAGTGGACATTTTAAATTCACGGTTTTATTCACATAATCCAATTGCATAATTCGTTCCATATCCAAACAGCTCAATTTTTGTCGAATGAATGCCACAATCACTCCCCACACACACACACACAAACACACATCCTACACTCCCCTCTAGCACCGCCCCTGACCATCTATGGTTGCAGTGGATATTGTTTTTACCTCCATATAATAAGCATTTAAAAGACCAATTAACTCGCAATTATAGGCTGTCGTTTGCCACATCTATTAAAAGATACAATGAAATTACTGAAGCAAGACATATTAAACTTATAATAACTAAATTAGGCTGTTTTTGACAAAGTCTATAAAAAGATATATAATAGAGTTTCCGCATCATGCATTCTAAATAAAAAGAATGCCCCGTCATAATTTTGCTCATTGAAAACAAACTAACGGAGAAGAAAGTCGTGTCAATCTGATACCTTTTTGGTCAAAGAAGATTTTACATTTCAGATACAATATGGCTTGGAACTGGTCAAGTAAATTCTTTAAGCTGGTGTGTATTCTGATTGCAGTGAGTCAAACAACCTCAAAGCCAAATAAAGTAAGTTTTTATTAACTCAAACGTTATTTATAATTGCTATTGAGATACTCCACTATTACAATTACACAACAATCAGCTAGTATAGTGTTGCATTGAAAAATATTTGATTGAAACTATTTTTCATGTGATTTAAGGATATGATAAATGTTCAGTAACATGAGTGCGAGCCCTTGTCGCCGAAGTGGTATTCAAATTCTCCCGAACAAATCAATACAATATTAAGAAAACAAGTCAAAATTGTTATTTCGGTCGTAATGACTGTACCCTACAAATATATTTTAGCCCGGGGTTCAGTGAAAAGTATTCTGAGACTACATAGTGGTTTGTGTCTGAACTACCTGAAAACGATATCTCGAACGAAGTGGTCCAGCCGTAGGTAGCTAGCATTCATACGCTTTAAATACGCTGCCGTGGTTTGTGTCTAAACTATACCTGCATGCGGATCAATGATCGTAGGTAGTATACAGGTGTTTCGAATATTTCTCAGGCAGTTCAGACACAAACATGAACGACGGAAAATAGTACTCTGTTGAAGTGACGTAATCGATAAAGAACTAGTATCAATCCGAGATATTTGTTATTAAACATATGATATCTACTATAGCTATAGCCTACTTATTAGCTATGGATCAGCCATGACTATATATACCTAAGATACGTTGCCGTGGTTTGCGTGTGACCTAAAAAAAATAAGACGCACTACAACGTTTCTATGTAGCGAAACTTGATCGCTTCAGTTGGAATTTCAAAAAACAGGTAGACGCATTTCCCTCTTCAATTGCTCGAAACGTCGAGGCGATTTTAATAGTTTGCCGAAAGTCGTGGGTCGAAAGCCGAAAGTCCTCCCACGGGGAAAGTTGACAGGCTAGATTAGGGTAAATACAGTTAAGAAAGTAGTATCACAATTGTTGTAGAGATAAAATAGTCAGTTGATCATATCCACATGAATTTGCGCTATATAAATGTTAATCTTAATCATAGTCTGTTGGAAATAACTGAAATTAGCTGGGGGAAAAGGTAGACTTGATAGACATAGTAGATTTAGTGGACGTCAATTTCCGCCATATTGCCGCTACACTTTTCTCATAGGCCGACTGGCCGAATGATTGAAGTTCTTAATCCAAATTTAAATAGAGTTCACTGACCAGCTTTGTTCGCCATTTTTTGCTCGCAAACCGCGCAGCAAGAGGAAAATAACAGGCAAAGCAGTGATTTAGGGAAGTAAATCAACATTAGTACTGACTCTATGTTCAATCATTCACTTGTGACCACAGCGCCCTGCTTGTGACCGTATGCTTTCCTTGTGCTGTTTCAGTGTTTCCCACTCAAAAATGGCGGACATGCAAGGCCTGGTCGCATAGTGGGACAGAGGACAGTTGACCACAACATCGTCGCTCAACCAAATTCTGTCTACACCCGCAAACAAAATTTTGTCTACACATCTTGTAGAGTTAATCTGCGTTAAGTCACTTGCTAATTCTGCCAACAAGACGTCAACAAGTTGTGTTCGCCCCGCTTGTTCCAAGTTGTCAACAAGTGTGGAACAACTTGTTAACAGTTGCAAGGTTATTCCAACAAGTCCGATACATGATTACAAAGCCCAGTCGAATTGTAATCAAGACCCAACGTTTCGACACTCCAGTCTAGTGTCTTCATCAGGGGTGATCTAAAACTGCGATCGTGGCTTCTTAAATACCCAAGGGAAAATCAGCTTTAGCCGAACGTATATGTTACACCAAACACGAGATTGCGTGGGAAAACTCTAAAGTAATTACCACAAACAATCGCTATGGTCAAAGACTTTGCCTAGAAGCGTGGCATATACATGTGAGTCATCATGCTTTGAATAGGGATGACGGTGCCTATTTGCCAGAGGAATATATATGCATCTTCTTGGCAGGTGACGTCATCCCTTGGGTATTTAAGAAGCCACGATCGCAGTTTTAGATCACCCCTGATGAAGACACTAGACTGGAGTGTCGAAACGTTGGGTCTTGATTACAATTCGACTGGGCTTTGTAATCATTTATTTAAACCAGAGTAGCGAGCGAAACATGATTGATATACCTGGTTGCAGTGAACGAACAAACGTTAAGTCCGATACAGTCATGATATAATATTTGTTACAACCTTGTGTCGTCAACCTTGTAACATTCTTGTTATATCATGACTGTATCAGACTTCTCAGAACAGCCTTGTGACAAGTCTGATGTTACAAGTTGTTCAGTAACCGCTTGTGCCGAACTATACAACAACAGGGAACAAGCAGTGCGAACACAACTTGTCGGCAGCTTGTGAACAGAAATGTTTTAACAACTTGTTTGCAGACCTGTAAATTTTAAACTTATATGTTTTGTGTGTGAGTGGTGAGATTAAGCGTTTGGCGCTCTTTGACCGCTTATAACTTTCTGACAAAAATTCTTCTCATTTCAGCAAACGTGCGTAGAAGATTCTGCCGAGTGTGACAGTAACAATGACTGTTGCCCAATGTGTTCAAATGGACTCCCTGGAGTTTGTGATGATACTTTAACTCCCCCAATTTGCTTCCCTGATGAAGGTGGTGGTCCGTTCCTCATTGCTAACGGTACGGATACAGTTAATTCAACTGCCTGAGAATGTCATGTGACAATAATTTGATGGAATTCACAAAAAAGAGCATTTGACTTGTGAATTTATATGTAGTCAACCAGTCAATGTTTACATAATTTACTCGTAACTGGTTTGTACTTAAAGAGCCAAAGATCGTTTCAACATGAGGGACGGTATTGCAGTATCCATTATGCATAATAATATTATTTACCACTATAATCACTGTAGTATAATACTAGTATGACCACTAAGTCTGACTGTCGGTGCTCAGTTGCGGCCAAAAGGTTGCACATAGTGTACAGCCAAATCAAAAAAGGTTGTCCATCAAAAATCTTAAACGTAAACATTGAGCGCGCAAGGTAGAACGGGTATTGCTTATTCGTAGCCTAAGATTGGACATTATAGCTAAGTGAACCAAATAGCCCTACATCGAAAGTATTCATTATATATGCGTTTGCACATGACGTCACAGCCGCCATGTTGGTGTTCCAATAGTCCGAATTCCAGCTTTTAGTTTATGCGTGCAGGGGACGATGGGAAGTAAGGTATCACATTTCTGATTATGGTGAAAAAATAGAAATGGTGGCCATGATAGCTTATACTTGTAAAGATTGAAATATTTCGGTTGTTTCGGTAGTTTTTATTGAAATTTTTCAGCATAATCAGCACTATGTGTTCAAGTGGACTCCCTGGAGTTTGTGTTGAAACTTTAACTCCCCCACGTTGCTTCCCTGATGAAGGTGGTGGTCCGTTCCTCATTGTTAACGGTACGGATACAGTTAATTGAACTGCCTGAGAATGTCATGTGACAATAATTTGATGGAATTCACAAAAAAGAGCATTTGACTTATGAATTTATATGTAGTCAACCAGTCAATGTTTACATAATTTACTCGTAACTGGTTTGTACTTAAAGAGCCAAAGATCGTTTCAACATGAGGGACGGTATTACAGTATCCATTATGCATAATAATATTATTTACCACTATAATCACTGTAGTATGACACTATGACCACTAAGTCTGACTGTCGGTGCTCATTTGCCAAAAGGTTGCACATAGTGTACAGCCAAATCAAAAAAGGTTGTCCATCAAAAATCTTAAACGTAAACATTGAGCGCGCAAGGTAGAATGGGTATTGCTTATTTGTAGCCTAAGATTGGACATTATAGCTAAGTGAACCAAATAGCCCTACATCGAAAGTGTTCATTATATATGCGTTTGCACATGACGTCACAGCCGCCATGTTGGTGTTCCAATAGTTTATGCGTGCAGGGGACGATGGGAAGTAAGGTATCACATTGCTGATTATGCTGAAAAATAGAAATGGTGGCCGTGATAGCTTATACTTGTAAAGAATGAAATATTTCGGTTGTTTCGGTAGTTTTTATTGAAATTTTTCAGCATAATCAGCACTATGATACCTTACTTCCCATTATCCCCTGCAGGCATAAACTAAAAGTTGGAATTGCCTATTCACAAGAATTTTAATTTGACTCTTTTGTCTGGAACACCAACATGGCCGCCATGGCTTTTGTGGAGTTGGTCCCTGGGGAATGAGTGCGAACGCTCCGCATTGTTGCAAAGCAGATTTCCCGAGTTTAAGACTCTAAATAGGAAGTTAAATTTTAGCCCCGTTTACACGAGCAAATTTTATTTGACAAATTTCATATGTCAAAGATATTTTGCTCGTGTAGATGATAAATTTGTGACAAATTTATTGTGACAAATGCATTCGAACAAAAGCTAGCATGCCAGCTTTCGATCAAATGAAATTTGTGAAATAAAATTTGCTCGTGTAAACGGGGCTTTACCATAATATGTTTAAGGTTTAAGACTTGTGAATTAAGGACAAACTTTTTTGAATTGGCTATATAGCCGAATGGTTTCAAATAGACTACTAGTCCTCTTCTTCCTTAATATCAGTATTTTCATGTAAATAAGTACTTAGTATTGGGCAAAATCAAATAAATAAATAAAACATACTAGACATACTAAGGTGATACCAGTGATGACATCTCGTTCAATACAGCCCAATCTCATAGATAAACCCAACCTCGTTCCCAGTGCCTCAACTCCACACCCCCCCCCCACACCCCCACCCCGCCCCTTGCATGACGGAGGTGTGACCCTGTGAATTCGAAACAAGTTGTATGGAATCATGGGTAATAAAAACATTTTTTTAACTATCCATGATAGAACGTACAGAATGCTGAAAGTTTATGTCGATGAAAATTTCGAGCGAAATAAACATACGGTTAAATATACTTTGCGGTCGAAATTTTATTCAAGAATACACCCTTTCGATAATTACGTCGCACATACGTTTTGGTTTTGGAGCCTCGCTCTCATTAGTAAACTACACCATGTGATTGGCTCACGATTCGTGAGAGCGAGGCTCCCAGGCCAAATGACGTAATTATCGAAAGGGTGTATTGAGATTAGCTTTTCCAGCATAATATAATGCTATTTTGATGTTATGTACTCAGGTGAATACACTGTTTTTGATGTTACTCTTTTGATATCCACACCGGGTAGGCTGAAAAGTTTGCCTGACCACGGTGGGAATCGAACCCGCGACCTTTGGGATACTAGTCCAATGCTCTGCCAACTGAGAGCTACGGAGGCCAAGTTTGTTCGAGTGTGTGGTATCCCAAAGATCGCGGGTTCGATTCGCACCGTAGTCAAGCTAACTATGCCTGCCCGGTGTGGATATACACTCAGAGTAACATCAAAAACATAATATAATGCTGTTATCAATCAAGAACCTGTCATATGGAATATTTGTTTTTAACATAATGTTTGCATGTGAATTGTATTTCTCGTTTTTTCTTACCCTTTTGCTTTTGCATTGTTAGTTTATGACATTATGTTTGGGGCATTTTATCTTCATGGCATTTGTTGACCTCAGACAATCTCGTGCAAAAATAATGAGACTTTCGATATTTCGTTCTATTTCCATGATTACTTCTCCTCCCCTGCATACAATGTTGAAAAAAAATTGACCTGACAATATACCTATACCTTTGTATCGTTTGTCCAACATTGTTTGTGGGGAGGGGGGGGGGGGCAATGACTTAGTTGTCTCAATAATTTTTGCACTATAATGAGACAAAAATAATGAGACTTTTGATATTCCGTTCAATTTCCATGATTACTTCTCCCCCTCCCCCCTATACAATGTTGAAAAAAATGTGGCCTGACACTATACCTTTGTATCGTTTGTCCAACATTGTTTGTGAAGAAAGGGGGGGGCAACGACTTAGTTGTCTCAATAATTTTTACACGAGATTGCAATCTCGTGCAAAAATGAGACTTTTGATTCCATTCAATTTTCATGATTACTCTTCTCCCTCCCCCTATACAATGTTGAAAAAAATATTGACGTGACAATATACCTTTGTATATCGTTTGTGCAACATTGTTTGTGGGGGGAAGGGGGGAATCACTTAGTTGTCTCAATAATTTTTGCACGAGATTGTAGTCGTAGACAGAACAGTTCAGAACGGATTGAGCCGGGACCAGTAAAACGTATTTTAAATTAATTTCTCTTGTAACATTGGACCTATGGGGTTGGGGGCGGGACCCGGACTGGTCCTCTGGATAGAACTATTTTGAACTGGTAGAGGTATCCACAGTAACACTGGAACAAAAAGGGATGGTTCTTAATGGGCCTCTAGGGAGAACAATTTAGAACTGATAGAGCTATCCACTATATGAGTAAAGTTGCTTTAGTTTTGTTTTCTTAATGTAGTAGATAAGTAGTAACACTGGATCAATAGGGGATGATTGTGATATAGATATCGATCAATAGTGTAGTTTAGGTTTCCTATAATGTTAGCATAGTAACAGTGGATTAATAAGAGATGTCTCTTACCGAACTTGTAATATAGGTAGAACAGTTTAGAACTGATAGTGCTACGTTAGTTTTGTTTAGGTTTCCTCAGTAATAGTACAGTTATAAGACTGGACCAATATTTTAATTAAAGGGACGGCCTTATTTGATCTCTAGGGAGAACAGTTTAGAATTGATAAAGCTATCTGCAATAGCAAACTTGTCGATCAATCCAATTTATAAATACAGTTAGTTTACAATAGCACAGACCATTCCAAAAAGAGTTTAGGACTTCTAGGGGGAACTGTTTATAGAACTGATAGACTAGCTGTCCAGTATAAATAAAGTTAGTTTATGTTTCCTAAAATTAAGAGAACCACTGAGTATTTTAATAAAATATAAAACAACGGTAACTCTTGAAAATAAACATTTTAGACCTAATATTCAAAGAATATTAAAGTTATATATATATAGTACGAAACTTACACGTAAACGTACTGCAAATTATCAAATTAATTAAATTAATATGTAGATCAATGGAATTTTAAGTGCTGTACTCGAACAGACAAGCAAAATAATGTGACGTCAAGTGCATTACACTAGAAATACTCGCTTCGCAAGTGCTGCCAAGCACGTTTTAATAGAGGCTCACTTTATAGTATAGCTACTCAAGAAATTAAATTTTGACATTTTTAATAAATGACGCTCTTAATTCAAGCATGAGACAATTCAAGTAATGTGTTATATTGCATTGAAGAAATTTTAACTATGTTAATTTTGTTTCAGAATGTTATTAAGAAAGTTGTTTGTGCAACTGTTTCTACTAGTTTTACAGTTGAAATATTTTAACTATTTTTTGAAAGCAGTTTTTTGTCGAAAAGAATTTTCTTTGGATCAAAGATTGATTTTGTTGCATTAGACAAAGGTTAGCTTTTAGAACAATAATTATTTCAATGGTCGCTAACTCAAAAAGAGCTATTCACTGCCAAGGGGTCAAGGTTTCGCCCACTGGCGGCATGCACTGAACTTTTAAAACAAACCCATTTAGAACGTGGATCTTGAGTCAGGGAAGGAGGACGTTCGAACTCTTCTCCCTAGAAATCCAGTGTGTCCCTTAGTTCTTAGTGTTACTAAGGAGGAAACATCAATTACTGAACTATATATATTTATACTGTACAGCTCTGTCAGTTCTAAACTGTTCTCCATAGAGTAAGTGACATCCCTTGTTGATGCATTGTTAGTACAGGAGGAAACAAATTAAACTAACTTTATTTATACTGGATAGCTCTATCATGCAGACAGCTATTTCAATTAAGGTTGTCCACGAGCAAAGCGGAAAAGTCGAATACGAGCGCGAAAGGCTGCTGGGAATCGCTAATAAATGAAAGAATATATTAGCGATTCCCAGCAGCCTTTCGCGCTCGTATTCGACTTTTCTGCTTTGCTTGGGGGACAACCTTAATTGAAATAGGCTAATAGCTGTATATATCATGTTAGGTGAATTGTAGGTAAATATCGAGATTTTGTTAGTATCTCACTCGATTGAATAATAATAGTTGAGGGGTCTTGTATAGTGGAAATTATCGAGTGGAAATTTTTCACAACTGTTCCTGGTCAGGTCTAATATAAATGTATATAAATTTCCACTCGATGATTTCCATCTACCACAACCTTCAACTATTATTCAATCGAGTGAGATCCCCGCAAGGCGCAACAAAATCTTGATATTTACCCATAGGCCATAACCTATAACATGATATTGATGAACTTGTGGTTAGGGAAGCCTCACATATCGATTTTGTCCATGAGAAACGTCATATGTTCGTTTCTCTGGAGATCCCCCCCCCCTTAGAAACGTCACACATTTTATCGATATTTTGTTCTTATATAGTACACAAGAATAAGGTAATTTTCTATAATACATTTTTTTCGGTCGGCTATTGGCGATGCTTTAATTAGCGAGGAATATGACATACTCTTTTCTTATTATAAATATGAACTTCAAAATTTCCAACGTTTCTCAAAACAACTTTTTTGCATGAAATTGAAATATTGATAATTTTAGCGCGCCTTTCTTGAAATTTGAGTGTTTACAATGCAAGGAAGCCGTAATAATATAAATGCATAGGTATAGAACAGGTATGGTATTACGAATGTATAGACCGCTGTTTGTATCAAATTATTTTCTTTTTTATATTCTGCAAAGATAAAAACTATCGAATTTTTCCATGATGTTTACAGAGAAACGTCACAGCTGCCAACCCCCCCACCCCCAAACGAACATATGACGTTTCTCGTGGAAAAAATCGATATGTGAGGCTTCCCTTAAAGCTCGACAACTGATCTCTGTAGCTCAGTTACATCAGTAAATGGTTAGGCTTTCGCGTCGTCTTCTTGGATTTGGACGTTAAAATCGTAGGTACCTTGGATCCCCTTATGTCAACTTATAATTCCACGGCATGTCACTGATCTGAAAGCTAACACTATAGTGCATCCGCTATGCATAAATTAAGCTATTAAATGGGGGCAATATTGATGTGACACCACAAATCTACTGTGGTGTTGGTGACATGGTAGAAGAGGTTCTTAGAGTTTTTGGTTATCGGTGGGAAAGGATAAATTACATTGCCTGAATAGAAATTTATCATCAATGGCCTCTCTTTCCCCTTAACTTGCCCTTGAATAACTGGATGTGGTCTTACACCAAGATGACTGTGACTTTAAGTCTCATCACATGGTCTACCAAATCATGGCCAAAAACTTTGTGGACAGTACAAAATTGTATATGTAGCAATTTATAAGATACATTTGAAAATATTGCATGAATATCTGTCAAACCCCCCATATCCCCTTCTCAATGATGCAGCCCAATATGATATACTATTAGATAGAGTTGCCGATGCGAAAACGATTTCAACATTGTTTTGGGAGAGTGAATTATAGCATTAAATCTGAGCCTATATATTGTCCACATATGAGCCTATATTGTCTACATTATTATGGCCTGGATTGTATAGGTCAAGGTATAAAGGTCTTATTTCCTTGTGACCATGCACAAGTCTCATTATCTAGTATCCGAGCTAGCTCGCTTTAGGCGGGATCCTGTCTTTGTTAATATTCCCTACTAAATTTCATGTTGCGTTTGTATGAGAACCGAGCTGGCCCGCCTAACCGAGGCCCCGCTTCGTGTGACTGACCCGAGACCTCGGGTAAACGGGCTGGGTAGTTTTCCATATAAACGCAATAGGAGAAATTTAGCACATACGCATGCGCAAATAATTAGAATAATTCAGAATGCACAAACAACTCCCATATAGGGAACCAACTTCCATATATGGAGTTGTTTACGCAAAAAAATTAGAACAAGAAGAGCCAGCCCTTCATGTATAAAGTTTCATGTAAACGCGTGGTGCGAGCCAGTGAGTTCTTCTCGGGGATGCCAGCCAGTTCGGGTACTCAGGCTGGCTCACTTCCATATAAACAGCCCCTAAAACTCATGAGAGGAGAGGTGGGATATCTTTTACGTTACATTGGAAAATACATTTGCTTGATCAGATAATGTAGCTAATTTAAACAGGTCGTGATCCGGTTTACAGAGATTCTGACAGATTTTAAAATCTCATCTCAATAATATTCCGACTTAAAAATTGGCTGATTGTGATTCGAAAGGATACATGCAGCTCCATCTGAGTCCTGTAGACATTAAATATTCAAATGAAAGAAAAGAAAAGACATTAACTGAAACCTTAATTAAAGAAGGTTCAGTGACTTCACTTAGGGTATACAAGGATTTTAGGGTCAGGCTTCGGTCAATGTTATATTTCTTCATTTCTTTTCCTTCATATTCCGCATACTTAGTGTCTACACAAGGCATGAAATGTTGGCCGGATTTCAAAAACAATTTAAAATGGCTTGAACAAATTAATGCGGTTTTATTTCCATACAATACTGTAATTATATCCAATGTGTGCCTTTAGACAATTAGCAACGGAATGAATTCTGAAGTGGATAACTTTGATGAAAAACAACAACTATACGTATGTCTATTAAATTACTTTACTTCACGACGGAGAATATTATATTTACAAATTGTACTGTAAATACACCCTGTATAATAATTACAGACTGTAAATCTGTAATTATTAAACAGGTGTGAAAGCGCGATATTACATTTATTAGACAACGATCGACGTTTCGATACCATCATCATTTTCACTACTACACTAGTTGAAATATGTTTACACAGTTAGCAACCTTTTTAAGTGTATCTGGCGGTTGAGAAACACAAAATAATAGTTAAATATTGTCAATTTAAATACAACTATCATTGATGCTGTAAAATTGACACCATATTTATACAAACCATACTGAACTTCAGACATCATTTTCTCTTTGCCCTTTGGCGTATCATCATTATTTTACAGATAAAGCGTTAAACATACTTCTTAATTTTGCCACTTGATACAAAAGATTCTCGTCTTAATAAGTTTCATATCGCTTTCATTTGTGTCTAAAGCCAGGGTCAAACGTCGAATTTTTCATGTGCCGAACCTAATGTTAATGAGCTAAGTTCTTTGTTTCACTTCATTTGCATTAGGTTCGGCACATGAAAATTTCGACATTTGACCGTGGCCTAAATTGATTTCACTATGAAACCGTTTGAATTATTAGTAAGTATCGATAATTCAATCTAAGAGATGTACTTTGACACCAAGATTTTCGAAATTGGTCTACTGTAGAAGAGCCAAGTGAATCGGTTATGACTGTTTGGATAAAGGAGTCATCACATCTATAATTGATACTTAACACAATTGATGTATATGATTTCAATTGTCTATTGGGTCAACCACACGTTTCTTAAGGTCCGAGTCTACACTTAGACGAGTAGATGAGTTACTAAATGTTTACATAAGGTTCATATACCTTCCTATTCACTACTCATCCACTCGATCACATGCATCGGAAGAAGAAAATCACATTAGAAATCGCAGCAAAAAAATTGCAAGTGTAAACGGACCTTCAAACAGCCGTAACAATGGTTCTATACTTACGCCCGTATTCTAAAAGCTCACTCACACTCAATGAGTGCATGGAGGTTCAATCTGAGCTTCTCTTGAGTGTCAATGCTGTTTTTGAATAGCTGGAGGATGAGTAGTCACCGAGTAAGGTATGAAACTAGCCCTCCAGCTATTCAAAAACATCATTAACACTAAAGAGAAGCTCTGATTGAACCTCCACTCATTGAGTGTGAGTGGGCTTTTAGAATACGGGCGTTAGTCTAGACCAATTTCAGTAATCGTATTGTCAAAATTCATCTCTTAGATTTCGATATCTACTGATAATTAGCTGTGGAAAATCTGGAACCGATAACCATTGCATTTTTTGTGACACCTGCGATACGCCAACCAACAATTTTGATCAATTACGTGCGCCCTTTTTTGTTAATGGTGCATCATTGAAAATCATTGTTGAGTGTGTTTAGTGGCTTGATAATCCATATAGGGTTAGATTGCTAACAACCAGTTGAAGAAAATTCGAAATTAATTTTTTTTCACAAAGTACTGTAGTTATACCGAACAATGCCGAACAATTTTCTCAATTGTGTGCGGTCCTTTTGTGTAAAGATAATAGGTGGAAAACAAGGTGTGTCTAGCGACGCAATAATGAGCAATCAAGTTTTCTGGTTAGTTTCGGTTAACGAGATCTTTCTGTGTCTTTTGCTATCCGTTTTCGTTGTAATGACTGAAGTAAACACAATTTTGCAGAGGTACTCACTGTGGTTGATTTCAATATATATATCTCAAAGATATTGCACATGCAAGGCAAGACGTCAATATGGGTAAAATATTTGTGTAACCATGCTTGTTGACGTAATATTCATACACATTCACAATAATCCAACATGTGAACTTCCGGACGTTTCGATCGAGCGATCACTACTAACTTTCCGACGAAGGGCCTCGGAAACGTCAAGTTTTATTTGTATTTTTCAGATCACTGCGGAATCCCTAGCTATCCATTCGCAGTTTTCTAACCCTATCCCTATATTAACCTATACCTAACCACAAACGCATTTCAAAAGCCTGTATGACCATTGAGTATTGTAGTAACTGATTAAATGTGGAAATCAGCAGTATATTTACTTATGTTCATCAATATACATCAACTTGAATTGCTATAGTACCTGAATCGATGAAGAGTTTTACAATAGAATCCTAGAATCTGTGCATGCAAAGGTTTAGTTTGAATTCTGCGCCAAAGTCACTTGTGATATTCGATACTGATGGCGCCAATTTGGCAAAAACAATGTTGCACTTTATCGTTCCAAGAACGGTCACAGACAGGTGACGTTCGAACAAACGTTCCTACAACGTTGCGCACACGTTACATTTTAGTCAATCAAAAGATACATTTGGAAAAACGTGTTGTTAAAGTTGTACAGTGGTCATATTAGACCAAACCAAATTGCAATATTCCTACAACATTGCGATTACGTTGTGAAACATGCATGAAGATATAATCGATAACTCGACTGATTTATGATGATCGAGGCCCAAAATATTTCAAGAACTGAGCAAGATTTAAAAGAAAAAATAGCAGATCATACGCAGCCATGCAGAGTAAATTACGTATTTAACTGAATTAAGAAACGTTCTCTGGCTGTAAATATTTGTAAATTGTGAAAAATTGCAAGCTTTCGATCATCAGTTTTAAAACCTTCTACAGGTATATGTGAATTAGGGTTGAAGGCTAAGATTGATAGCCAAGATTAAGCTTGTGGCGTGGTCGTCAGAGCAAGTGCCTTTTACCTTGTGCATGTGGGTTCGATTCTCGCTATGGACTCATATGTGAAAACACGGTTAATAAAAGAGTCAGTCAACGCTCTGCCAAAAGCCGTGGGTTTTCTCCGGCTTCCTCCCACAAGAAAAGTTGACAGGGCTGGGTTAGCAATTGTAATATCACAATTGTTGTCTGAAAGATAGAATGTTTTTTTTATGTTACTCTGAGTGTATATGTGGTCAAATCAAATCCACATAGTGTAAATTTGCGCTAATCGTAAACAATAGATATTTATATAGGGATGGGCCGATACTGATACCAAATACTATCGATACCAAGGTTTTGAAGAAAAATATCGATACTGGTAAGAAATATCAATTGTTTCGATACTTCTGAGCCTGCGATATTTTTCATTTTGATCAGCGACCTCATCATGAAAATGATCCCCAAAAGCCTAAATAGGAGCAGCTGGGAAATTTGTTGCGCATGCGCCAGATTTCCATTGAAACTTGAAGATTTCCCCGAAGAAATAACGAGATGTTCGTGGTTGTTGTATATTTTTGAATGCCTGTTTAATCTTTATAATTTTTTGCTCGAGACAAAGTAAAATGTACTCTACGTTTCCAGTGTATAGAATATCTCGTTTGTGTTTGAACAGCAATAGAATATTATAAACTTGACAAAAACAAGAAGACATTTGACACGCTAATTCTGCAGTCATGCCTGCCAATCGTCGCAAGCTTGACTGCCTTGTCAAAAGCAAAACAAGTACGAATTTGGGTTCAAACAGAAAGACGTTCAATGTTAATACCACTAACATATATTCTATAGAAATACGGGTGGTTTAAAATGTTTTCAATTGAATTTTTAAAGCTTCTATCCATCGACATGATAATCAAACTGTGAAAATGCCGGCTTTTGTTGACGCTTGCGAATGCAGAATAACTTCCCGTAAACAGAGCATTTCTACACAAAACTCTCGCTTAGTCTTCTAATGCACTTGTATGTTCGGTTTTACTAGTTAAACAAGGAAAATATCCAAGAAACTTGGTAAATTATCGTTGTTATAAAAACATTTCAGTGCTGAGGCAGTACAAGGACTTAAGGGCAAGGACAAGTTGTCGATTTCATTACATTTTCAGTAGTTCGAATGTTTTCGAACTCTTATCTCATACAAGAGCAGTAAACGCACGCATTTCAAAGCGAAATTAGACGCAAAGGGGCAATTTTTCAGCAAAATTCATTGTTAAATTATGTTTCCTATGTGCCTTGGGAGCAAAAAAATATGATTTTAAATTTGGAGATTTCGGTAAATTTTTTTGCAATTTGGCCTGGTATTGCACCCTACCTATGTACTAACTGTACTGTAAAAGTAATCAAATATACTATTTTTAATTTCCTTTCATTGAAAGGATCTAATATTGTGGACTAAACTAAATTTTAATCAGCATACAAGGCTGCAAACAACAGCCAAGAATTAGCTGGGTAGTTTGCAAACTTTAAAAATAATTGGACCTCAAACTTTGATCTCCAGAAGTAAACAAATAGACAATACTGCGAACATAATCCAAGTTTTGATCACGAGGGGCAATTTTTAGATGTAAAAAAACTTGTTTAAATTACATATCAAACTAAGGCAAAACAAAATTTGGTATTAAATTTTTGGTGAAATCGTCAAAGTTTTTTGCTATCCGCCCACACTTCTACACCCCCTCTCCCAGGATATTCTACCTCAAAAAACAGTTTTCTACAGAAACTATGCTTTTTTATCGGAAAAATGTTTACTTTTCTCAAAACATACATTATAAACACGGAAACCTTAAATATTTAAATAATTTTCATACCTTTTTGGGACTGAAAAAAGCAAAATTTGATTCATTATCCCACTTTTTAAAATATATGTGACAAAGTTGCTTCAAAATCACCATCACGCAGTAGCATGTTTATTTACCCTCATCCTTTTGACTGAATAAAGTTTATCTTTTTGAAAAGCTATTTGTTTTATAGCTCTTGGTTAGCAGTTTACGTTTATGTCGATTTTGGCACCCATGAGACCAACAAGTTCTGGTAATCCGCGAATGAAAACTGATATTCGAAGAGCACAAAAGCCAACTCCTAGCTATGTAACTTTATCGCCTGAATTTTGAATCAATCCAAAATTAAAATGCTGATAATGTAGATGCTTTCCATACTTGAGATGTTAGTGAAGTTTTTCCTACAATTTAATTTCCTTGATCGCCATCTTAAAAATGCAAAATCATCAGTTGAAATTTCACTCGTGTTGTTTTTTCAAATTTTCGATTTTTTGTAAAATATCGCGTGCGCCAGCAATTTCTCTGCACAGCGACAACAAATTTCCCAGCTGCTCAACAGGGTGGACTTCCGTCTACGCATGCGCGAGAAACGTAAGCGTGGAGTGCACGTGAGCGCGGGTTAATCGCGTGACTGAATTATAAAAACAAACATCAAATTTGCAAAAACTACTCGTGTTATGAAGTCGTTTTCTTGTTTCTTTAGTGTTTCTACGCTCACAATTTTAGGCATTTCCAACTTAGAAGTGTTTGCTTTGGAATAAGAACGTGAAAGTAGAAATAAAAACTTTGTTGCAGCAGTTTAATTTCGCAGTGCAAATATACCTGTTTTTAATATGTATATCCTTTTCGAAGTGAGATATACAAGTGCAAATTGACCTTCTTTAAATTCGTACTTGCCCTATTTTTCACTCCATAAAAACTACTTTTATCCATGGAGAAACTATTTGACTCTAAAAATAAGCTTGAATTTTTGTGGTGATATAGGCTCATTTCTTTGCAAACAGTGATTTAGTACTCGGTAGTGTAGTTGTTGTTTATGAACAAAAGTCTAAAATGAATTCAACATCCGTCAACAAAAAGGAGTCGCGCTTATTACTACTCTGTAGAGGATAGACAATTAATTTAACTCACTAGGAACCCGTTCTACAATATAAACTAGAAATCGGCCAACAAATTGCCACGAAATACTACAATGAAAATAGGGTCTCTGAACTACCAATTTCACCAAACGGTCAAGTTTCTCTGCAAAGATCGCCCCTTTGCCCAATTTTCCTCGAGTAGATCATCGTGTTTTTAAGTCAAGGATTATGTATACTTTAACATAAAAGAATAAAAAAAGTGGTGATAAAGGGTAGATTTTGAATAAAATACGAATATCTGTATACAAGATCTGAGCGTTATTATGAAGCACTCGATACTTTCTCCAACAACATATTGCGATTAATTTTTTACAAAATTAAAAATATTCACACATTAAAGATATGAAAATGTAGCTTGCATTACAAAGAAATGTTGGCTTACCTAAGTTATACCTTACACGTCGATTAAAGTCAAGTAAAGCTCTTTCAAAGACGCGTGCCACATTAAACTACAGTAGAGAAGCTGTAGAGAACTCGACGAAGTATTCAGGATATTTCATAGCCAGTTTAAACCCTGCTGTGCACTATTCCTGTGAATTATGATGCCCAACACACCGGGTAACCAAATTTACCACTTTGTTCGGCTGTTTCAAGTACACTTTTAAGATACAAGGTCCGATTATATCATGTTCTTCGAAGCATCTGCTCAAAACAGTCCAACATAACTGTCGCCACTCATCTTCTTCGTATGAAAATATAAGTTTTCCTTTCAATTGCTTTGCTTTAAAAACAGTCATTAGGTTGTTGAAGAGTTTGCCTGCAAGTTCCAACGAAAAAACCCCCGATGCTTTCAAAAACCAGTGAATCACAATGCTGTAAACTTCAACATCCTTAGAAATTGTAAGCAAAACATCGAAAAGCAAAATTTGCGGGAAAAAGCTCACGAGCCCGCACTATTTTCATGCAGCGTCGACGAAAGTCCACCCTGTTCAGCTGCTCTAAATAGGCGTAAATACTATAAAAGTAGTTCATTTCAATGGTGCTATAATGGTCCGCAGGCAAGATCGGAGTTTCTGGTTATGCTGGTTGCAATCACTGACATATTATATTATTTTATTAATGTTTATATCGTTAGCGTTGTTACCGTTGTTATGGTTGCCGTTCTTTTGTTGTTTATGGTTGTTCGAGTTGGGAAAATATCGATATCGATATCGAAAAAAAAGGAAAATATCGAGGAAGTATCGTATCGAATGAAAAAGCTGGTATCGCCCATCCCTAAACTCATATTTATAGCCAGAGAACATTGAAGCTTATACTGGAATTGAAAAAGTTGTAAAACGATTTGCGTATATTACAGAACTATCCTTCTAGAACGACATGACTTCGTACACTGTCGAAGTCAACTGTCAAAGACAGAGTTGACTTTTTATTTAATTTATTTATTAAATATTTTATCTAAAACCGCTTTATTTAATGACGCTAGCCCCATCAGCAAAAGCTGGTTTCAATGGAAGGCGTCCAGACTCTGATGAATTTTAGTGATAAAAAAGTAAGACACATAAAGTAAGACACATAATTACTAGGCTGATAAATTAGTGATAATATTCATAAACACAACCGTGTTAAGTGCCACAGAAATGCGACGTTCGAGTAGGTTAAGTTCGAGAGAATGCAGGATTAGGTGCGGCGCACCATATGCGACACTGCATGGAGCGACAGCAATTCTATTTTAATCTATGTGTTATACGTATCTAATAATTATTTTAATCTATATGTTATATGTCATTGACTTTCATGTATTTTATATATTTATGTTAATTATCCATGATTTATATTTGGAGCGACATTTTATGTTCGCCGTTTGATTTGACACTGCTCCAACGTCCCTCTAGTGTCGTAATTTATTGGTTTCTACGTATGAAAAGAGCGACGTCGGTTTAACCCAGGAATAGACTTAATTAAACACTACAAGGTGTCCCAAAAAATGTCCCCTCTGTTGTTGGTTAAATGAACAACAGAGGGGCCACCCTGTATATGGTACATTATTAATCCGTTTTCGTAACGTTTTCGTATTGTCCTCCGTTCACAAGGGAATCGAAATTCATTACTTTTATAGGTTCGGCATATGAAATAGTGACGTACCAGGACACTATGGCTACGTTTACACTTGTACCGGATAACTTTCGGTAGCGACGTGAAAAAACACCTATCCGTACATTTTAGGAACGCTATTTTCAGAAGATTTAGTGCAACAAAGAGATGTTGTTTCGCTCAGTTTCTGAAAGTTGTACATTCCGTATCGAATAGATATTTTTTCACGTCGCTAGTCTATGTCTATGCGAGGGTGCTGACTCAGTCCCTCATCCGTTATCACGCGCGGTCTATCGCATTCCCATTAAGCCCCGCGCTCCCATTGTTTTCCACTGATCTCTATTCCCAACTGAAGCGACGAGGGACGAGGCAGGCGAGGGTGTGCATGTAGTGTTTCGATTCTATCACGTACAGAACCGTCCTCAGAAAAACGCCGTGAGGTGACGGAATTTGCAACATGCTTTCTTAGACTGCCAAAGTCATTTTTCCGCTTAATTTGAAAAGTTCTTTCAAATAAGGGAAGCTAATTTCTTAACTATATATACCGTCATATTTTTATTCATTACCATGAGCTAGTTCCCCTAGCTGACTATGAGCTGACTCACCCTCCCAAGTGATAATGAGCCCACGAGAATAACACAAACACTGAGTCACCCCCAGACCTAATATGGCTTCGTTTTAAATTCCGTAACGGATTGTCATTCTTGTGCTACACCTACGCAAAATCACTTGAACTAAGAACCATTAAACCCACTAATTGCTCTTTGCCATGCCGATAAGGGTACACTCAATCTATTTCCGCATTTGCTGACATATTGTTATGCTCATTGTGTTGTATATAGTCTCGCCTGCATACCATCGGCTGCTATTTATTTGAGGATTACGACGTCGTTAAGTTAATTCGTTCGTTTTATCCGGAACATTCAACATACAGATAAGATGGTCTGCTTCAAAGGGTGTGTTTTATTACTGTGTCTGGTTGTCGCAATTAATGGTGCGACGCTCAGAGATTTGTTCAACAGACCGAATTACGAGTTTTCCGACAGAGCCGAAGCCGACGATACTGATACCTTTTGGCAAAATTATGACAGATTAATCGAGGTTGGTATAAAAATTGCATCATTTATACATACCGATTTATACATATTTCGCCCTCATGCGCCCTACTTTATTATTTTACTCTGTTTAACGCCAGACGATTTTACTTGTCAAAGGGAGAGAGCTGGCGCTAAATGCATTAATGTCCTTATATATAAGAAAGGGTAAAGTGGAAAACTTAATGGAATATGCTAGTTTTACATTTATTCTGAAACTATTTTTTTATACGGAATGGTTTTGTATCTTATCTGTATAAAAAAGAGTCGTTTCGTTCTGTGATCAATGTTCCATTTCTGCAACTCATACAGTTGTGTCTGATCATAAATTTCATCTCAGTCGCGTGCGAGAATAGCGGCTACAGTTTGACTCTATATACCAAACACTGCAAGTGGTACTCCGGTCTCCGGCTCCAGTAACACTGGACCAATACAGGCACGAGCTTTCTGGACTCCTAGGCCCGCTAGGGAGAGCTGCTTAGGGAAAAATGTTAGTCACATTTTCTCCTGTGACAAAACAAGATGAACAAGAGATGATCCTTCCTGCATGATATTTAGCGGGGAGAACAATTGAGAACTGCATGATATAGAGCAAAAACTGATTAAATAGTTAAGTCAATTTTACAACCGGCATTAAAAGCAAGTTTATAGTTCGGGTGTTGTCATGCATACAGTATATATTGAAGCGCGTGTTTGAAAGATTTCATGGTTAATATATTGACGTTGTTTGCCTATATTAAATACAATTTCCCAGTCACAGCCAAAGTTTATATACATATTCTTACCACATATGGCCAAAGTATATCTCTTAGAAAGATCGTTTAAATTTCAGCCCCACTTGCGGTTAACACTTGAACATAATTTCGTGTGAAATTGGCCCACCGCCCTACCCCTGAAAAGGCCGAGAATTTCTATATAGAGTACTGTGAAGCCTAGCTGGATCTGAAACGACGATGAGAATGCATGCATATAATGATCGATAGTAATTGGCAGTCACGCGACCTTGGTTAGCTGTTCTTAATGCTTTCCTAACACTATCATGTATTCTATTGAAGTTAAAACATAGTTGGAACACTCATGAAAACTTTGACTTTGTTTCTCTCCAGCTTGAAATGTTCATTGTAACGATGCGTGACTACCGACTCTCATCAACGCTGATCTTCGTTTGACCGGAGCATTAATTAAAAAAACAGAACTCGTAAAAAGCTTGCGTGCGACTACCCAAAATTGAAACGTCATTGTTCAAAGAGAATTGAATTTATATCTTTGTTAATTTTTTTCAAACTCTCTTGTGATATAAACTGTATCCGCACGAAGAGCCATTAGCGTTAAAATTAGCTGCAATAAAAATATTGGTCACACACCGAATATAGTGTAACATTACGAAATACAGGCCCTCTGTAGCTACTCCGGTTACCCTTGCTCGCCCTGCATGGCTACACGAAAGGAACCTTTTAGAATAAAGAGAAATATCTAGTATAAATACTATTTATTAAATAGTTATATATACCTCCCATTGCGGGTGTGAATAATACTCTTTCAGTATTAATTGTTGAACGATTATCAGTCTGAGTGGCAACTACACATTTTTTTATCATGCTTTTACAACTTTTTTTATCATGCCTTGCGGCACTGAGCATATTAGCGTTCGAACTTGAACCCTGACCTGGCTTGAAATAATTTATTAAGTATAGAAACACTTTTAGTCCAAAAATTGGAAATGCAATCTATTTTACTCGGCTTTCAAAAATCGCAGATTTATTCTTGGTCGGGCAAATCCTTTCAGGATTATCAAAACTGAACCTTTTATTGAAAAAAGGCCATTTTCAATTCGATTAACTGGTACAGGGCGTATTTCAGCGAGACTTTAGGGTCACACATAAAAACATACAAGTAATTGTTACAGGTCTGCACACAAGTTGTCACAAATCTGTTCGACAAGTTGTGTTCGCATTGCTCGTTCCCCGTTGTTGTAACAAGTTTGGAAGAAGCTGTTCGCAAGTTGTAACAAACTTGATGGCATTATTATCAGACTTGTTGCAAGGTTGTTTTAACACGTCTGACATGTCATGATATAAAAAGAATGTTACAAGGTTGACGAATCAATGTTGTAACAATGATTGTAATATCATGACTGCATGTGCACGTGTCATGAGACTTGTTGGAACAACCTTGCAACAATTAGTCCGATAATATCAACAAGGTTGTTACAAGGATGTTTAGCAGCATGTGGCAAATTTGTTGACAACTTGGGACAAGCCATGCGAACTGAACTTATTGACGGTATGTTGGCGGACTTGATTTGCGATGTAAGATTTTGCATGTGTAAGGCAGGTAGCAAACGTGACGAAGTCTGCCAGGCCGGTGGAGGATTTGCGTATAGGATGCGTGTAATTTCCCAGTGGCTGCTTGAAACACTCATGTATTTTTGGTTTCCTCACGTGTCAGTCGAGAGTTTTTGTCCGGCTCCTCTGTTTTTCCTTCTTCACTGAAAGCTCGCCTTTCGAAAGCTTCGCCGCATTTTCATATGTGAACATGACTTTTCACATGTATTCCAAATAGTCCACATAATGAAATAATTATTTCACATGTGAAATCAATTTTCACATAATTGTGAACCGTTATTTCACATGTGAAAAAATATGTGAAACTTAAATTTTGCATGTTGAAAAATCTGAATTTCATTATTTTCATATATGAAATCAACATTTTCACATGTGAAATGTTCCAAATCAGTTGAGACAAATTTCACATTAGTACAGTTCCACTGCAAAAATTTCCTGAGTATTTTGACTAAAAAAGTGTCATTGTGTAAAATAAATTAAATAATGCACTCACATGGAGTGATTCGAAATTTTGAGTAAAATTACTGAACATTTATCAGCAAATTCAGCAACATTTTAGTGTAAAGTTTCAAACTATTTACTAAATTTTTTGAGTAAAAGATTTACTTTATTTCCTTTATACCCCCAAGTTTTGTAAATTTGCTGATAAATTTGTCCATAGCCTATCAAAGGAAAGATGACTGTGAAATCATTTAAATAACAATATAATTTACTCATTATTTATGTTATAGTCAACGTTTATTCATATTAAAGTCTGGACCTTCACCGTCATGTGCGTATAGTATTTTTGCCAAATCCACCAATAGCAATTTTCAATTTCCCTATATTATTGTTCGAGTCACGGATACATGTAGGTATAACTTTTCCTAAAACATTGCTATTGGTTAGTTGGGCAAAAATACAATACCCATGTGACGGTGAAGGACCAGATTTTAAGAATAAACGTTCACTATATAACATGGATATAATCGGTTATATTGTTATGAGTAATTTCACAGCCATATTTCCTTCGATAGGCTATGATTTCGGCCTGAGTAATTTTACTCAATCCAAATTTTAAGTCACTGCATGTGGGTTCATTATTTTGCTTATAGTTATTTCCATTAACAAGTTTTGTATTAATTTGGTTGCTATACTATAGCTAGAATATTCGCCCACATTCTGTAAACCTCATGACCGCAAGCACGTATAGACACTGGTATTAAAAAAAAACTAACCTTTCAATACAAATCTTGCGAAATCCTTTCCGATAAGCCGCTGTGACAATATACAAAACTAAAAAAAAACAACGTTAATTTGATATTTGACAACCATTTTACCCGCGGTAAGAATCACTGACTAGGCAAAATGGCATGTGAGAGATATTAGGGACTTTTAGATCTATTTTAGAGTTTTTGTTCAAACGGCAAAATGTAAGGAACCACGTGACTATGGGCTACTATCGATGATTGCGTTTGTGATTGTTGGAGCGATTTTTCCCGTAAGTCATTTCCCTCAAACATTTATTTCTGAAAAGCGATTTATCTCACGTTTTTATAATTTAGTCGGTTTATTTGTTATATACCTAAAAGTCTAAGTTACATTAAAGATTATTAAATGTTTCATACGGCTTTTATGTTCCGAAATTCAATTCACGTATGCTTCGTATATTAAATTAATGGCCGCCATATTTTTATGTTTTGCTTTATTTAATTATATTTTGAGTGTTTTATCCGACACAGATATGGAATTTTAACAGCTAGATATATTGAAATATGAATATTAATTTAAAACCATTGAACCTTTGAAAACTATTAAAAACTTATTTAACTGAAACATAAAACTTGCCATATAGTGTCACGTGAAAGTTCTTTAAAAATTTACGAAGAATCGAAAGCTAACCGCCGGTTTAACATCGAAGGGAAAATGGAAAGGTCTCTGTTGCTATGATTTATAGCTACTTGTGGCAGACCATCTGCCTAAAACTCAGTGTCACGTGCATGCAACCAACAAATTGCATTGTCATCGAATTCATCGCTACCTAAGATTAGTACTATACACCATGCATCTATCGAAGATAAGGTTTATGGTTGCCATGCGTTTTGAAAATTTTGAAAAAACAGGATGCAATTGAACAACTCACTATATGCATACATGTAGGCCTATGCATGCTATAGCAGTTGATTTCAAACAAACCAACGTGACCTTGTGTGACATGAGTGTAGTTAAGGAAAAACCACGTGAAAATATATACAATGTAACAGTCTGTCCCTATAGAAACAATGCGACAAATTATAAATCAATTCCAAATCCAATCAGAACGCCGGAACCGACCCTTTACCTGCACCTGTACCGAGGTCAGCGTAGGGCAAGCTAATGTGAGTAATGGCCATGATGTAATTATCTTGCATTCCTCAATCAAAACTCTAATATCGAGATGTTTCTTAGCCAGAGCTACGATATTTACAAAAGAAATGTAGAGTTGTGCAGATTTAATACAGTATATATATATGAAGATAAAAATGTTTGCTGTGCTATATGATGTGACATTGTCCATCAGTATATACATTTGAAAAGCTTAGATGCATGCCACATTCCAACTATAGAAACTATATAGTATATTATGACTCTATATAAAGTTTAGATATATAGTTTGTATATGGTTTATATATACCGTGTGTCCCAAAAAAACTGGACATTGTTTGATTTCATGTAACGTAAAAGCTATAAAAGCCATCGCAATGAAATAAAGAGCATTGCATTCAGAAAGGACTAACGAAGATTTTGATATATAACACTTGAATTTACATGCAATATTGAGCGAGATACAACCAAAATAAAAATATTTATTATTTAACAAGTATAACTATACATCGGTAATAATAAGGATGTTTTATGCTAATTTTTGACATTTTCAAAAACAGCAGTTCAACGTAGTCAAACATCAATAACGCAGTCAATATTGTATGTAAATTCAAGTGCTATATATCAAAATCTAAGTTAGTCCTTTCTGAATGCAATGATCTTTATTTCATTGCGATAGCTTTTATAACTTTTACGTTACATGAAATCAAACAGTGTCCAGTTTTTTTTTTGGACACCCGGTAGATACTATAAAGTATGATTCTAAACAATGAGCTTGGATACACACTGACAAAACTATATAACAACACGGGCATATATACTCTCCAGATGGAAAAAGATGGTAAAACATTAACTTTCCCGAAGGAACGGAGCCGGTTGTCCTCAACTTCCTTTCGTAGCCTCTGAATCGAATTGATTAAAATTTCGTTGTAAGACGCTCAAAATCTCTTTCATAACACCAAAAATGCTTTAAACAAACTTTATATTCTTATAACGTTCTCACGATCAAAGGCACTTGAATTATGTTTTAAAATAGCAGCACTACAAATAAAGAGCTAAGCACGAGAATTCATACATGCACGGCTCTTTGAAGAACGCCGTGAAGAACTCTTCGAACAAGCCAGATTGTGACGTCTCTTTCATCCTGATGACCGTTTGAAAAACATTTTGCATTCAAGACTCTTTGAAGAATGATGTCAAGTATTAGTCAAGGACGAGTTAATTTCGACACCAAATTTGAATCACGCAATGACGCACGATATTACATCATTGTAATAAAGGGAATATACAGCAACAAAAATCAGGTTTTGAGCAGTCCAGACATAGCTTCTTTGTATCATATCATAAAGGAAAATGACCAGGCAAATACTAATCGAAGTTTTCCACCGTTTACAATGCGAAGCTATTGAAAAACTGAATAAATCATATTTGCATTTAACGTTCATGATTTTCATTTAAAATTAGAATTTACAAAGCCATTGTATAACTGCAGTTCTAAGCTTACTGTTTGGGAGGATATAGCTATTATAGTGTACTTGCATGGGCTAGTTTTCAAAATTTGAAATTTCTGTCACCGTTTCAAGATACAGTGAGTGAGACAATAGGGCCATTTATACGGGACAAAATAAGTCGCGACTTACATAAGACGCGTCTTATATAAGCGGAGTTGTCGCATAAATGGTTCTCTACGGCTTTATTCTTATTTACTCGCTATAGCTATGTTGTTCCGGTTGTTTTTGTTTTAATATGCAAGGCTAATAATTTTACGTTGTTTCAAGTTTCGGGCATGTGTAGTTAGAATTTTTGTCCAAAATTTCTTATTTCAGACGCGACTTAAATAAGAACAGCTAAAAGTCCTGTTCTTATGTAAGACGCGTCTTACATAAGAATTTTGTACCTTTTATACGACAAACTCGCGTCTTATTTAAGTCGCGTCTTATTTTGTCCCGTATAAATGGCCCTATTCTGATACATACATTGTACAGGCATGTGACACCAATATCACAATGGTCCTCTCAGCGAGCCGAAATTGATGGTGTACAACACTTTCGACCGGCAATTTTTAATCGGCTCCTATTTGGTCATTTTTTCTTGAAATGACACAAAAACGGTGTCATTGGAAAGCTCAAACTTTGATGCACTCCGTGCACTCAATATTAAACGCAAAAAGCACTCTAAAGTTGGAATACCTTTTTTAAAATACCCCTGTTACTCTGGGGCTGGAAATAACACTATTTGAGTTAACTTAATACTCATGTATGCTTAAATTTCCTGGTTATTTTACCTCTCGTTAATGTAATGAGCAATCTGGTTATATTTGACCAGCACGTCCTTGTTAAGATAGCCAGACTACACTATAGGTAGATATATAACCATGCAGCGACCCTCATGGTTATTTATCCACCTAGCATATAGTCTGTTTACTTCAACCAGGATGTCCTGGTTAATTGGACCTTTCCCCTTATAACTAAAATTTTGATCTAGACAAGTCTAGACAAAAATTTCATCACAGCTTGAAAGAGCAACACAAAATTAGTAATATTCCGAAGTTTCGTTGCGAAATGTTGTAAAATGCGGATAATATAGCCCTGCGAAGTTTGCCGTTTTTCAGTCATTTTGTTGTTTTTCGTGGTAAAAATTTTGCTGACCCAACCATTAGAAAGTCAAAAATTTGATTACCCAACCTCAACTGTCAATTAAAAAATAAATACCCACCCCTGGCCAAAAACTTTACAAAAGGATACCTTTACCACTTCTGTGACATGAGTTTGATAACGGCTTTCTGCAGTCTAAAGTTTCATATTGTCTGCACGTGTTGTTTCTTTGGAGACACCATTTGTCTCCCATGCAACAAATCGGAAAATGATCAAGATAATAACTCTGATTGATTCACATATTGTATCTACATATGACTGTTGACATTGCTTTTTAGTCTTCAATATTTGAATGAGTGATGCTTTGGAAATGACAACAATTTTTTATGACCCAACCCTTGAGTTGTTTTGTTTTTCATTTACCCAACCTTTTACTCACTCAAAATTTTGTTTACCCAACCCTTTTCTCTTCGGTGCCACCCCCGCCATAAATAATGACCGCTCCCTAATACAAAATGACCGAAAAACGGCAAATTTCGCAGGGCTATATTATCTGCATTTTACAACATCTCGCAACGAAACTTTGGAATATAACTAATTTTGTGATGCTCTTTCAAGCTGTGATGAAATTTTTGTCTAGATCAAAATTTTTGTTATAAGGGGAAAGGTCCATTATAACCGTACATTACACTATACGTTACATTACATTATTATTATTCAGCCCACTCCCCATTGGGGCTTTTCAGTGACCGATTAAATCAAGTATGACGCTTACTTAATATGTCACTTACTTAGCCTAGACTATTTATCTTTACAGTTTACAACAATTGTGATTACTTTCATAACTGTGTCAGTATCCTAACCCACCCTGTCAACTTTCCCTGTGGGAGGAAACCGGAACACCCGGAGAAACCCACTGGCAGAGAGCGTTGACAAACTCTTTTCCTGACATGAATCCGTAGCGAGAATCGATCTCAGAGGAAACGCGCTTGCCTTGACGACCACGCCACCGAAGCCCCCATATAGGCTATGGTAGAGAAGATTAAAACATAACCAGGAAATTTAACCAGGGATATTAAGTTAACCCACATAGGATTATATTTCTGGGCAAATATCAGAATTTGGGGCATCTATACACTCGAGATAACCAATTCATAAAAGATGAATTTCGTATAGATGACTATCTACAATAGGTTATATCATTCTACTAACTATGGTTATATCGAGTATTGATGCCCTGCAAACCCTGTTATTTACCCATACACCTTACATTGGCATCTGCACCTTAGTATGACTATCTATACATGGACTTACTGTTAGAGCTCGAAAACTGGCCTCTGTAGCTCAGTTGGTTAGAGCGCTGCACCGAAATTGCAGGACCACAGGTTCGATTCCAGCCTGCAGAAGGCCTAGATAGTTGCATTTTTTGCAACTGCTCCTGGTTAGGTGTAACAAATGTATAAAATCCACACTCGAAATTTCTATGTGCAAAACCCACCTACAATTATTTCTAGGCAGGGAAATTTTAACCAGACTGTTTTTAGGCGGTGATCTGCGTGGGCGAGGAATAAAGGAGGGCAGCTGTCAATGGACCATTTGCATTATAGACTAAATTTTGATCTAGACAATTCTAGACATAAATTTCATCACAGCTTGAAAGAGCATCACAAAATTAGTAATATTCCATAGTTTCGTTGCGAAATGTTGTAAAATGCGGATAATATAGCCTTGCGAAGTTTGCCGTTTTTCAGTCATTTTGTATTACGCGCACGGGAAATTGACAGCCCAATCGGGTGTTGGGGCATCAATTTCCTGTTTGTAATACAAAATGACTGAAAATTGCAAATTTCGCAAGGCTATATTATCCGCATTTTACAATATTTCGCAACGAAACTTTGGAATATTACTAATTTTGTGATGCTCTTTCAAGCTGTGATGAAATTTTTGTCTGGACCAAAATTTAGTCTATAATGCAAATGGTCCATTTCTCTATGATGCATGCGGGAAGGTGGCTGCTTGCTCGTTCTTCTTTCCAACCGATCTACTATATTTACAAGCATTCTTAAGTAATTGCCTGCTCTGAATGCTTCGAATTTATGTCTTTGATATATGCTTGTACCATTAAAGCATGTACATAATTTTGTAAGACGCCATTGTAATTTATGGCTCCTTAATAGCGGAATATTTTCCACACAGCATAATGGTTGATAGGGTTACGAAGAACTTTTTGCTATAATTAGATATTTCTACTTGCAGGGGAGATGATATAGTAATAACACTTTCAATTTGATGAGGTTAATTGCAGAGATAACTCGGGAGCTATTTTCCAGTCTCGTCATAAAATATATTACATGAATACCGTAAAACTACTGATAAAACTTGCCGCACACCAGTGCTGTGCGAGAAACCAGTGCTGTGCCAACCGCCTCGTGTGGCAGCTACAGTCAGTTTCAAATGTCTTGGGACAGATGCCACAAACACTAGAATTTCAACAAACGTCAATCCCCCCGCCCCCTATTCAATGCTATGTGCCATTTCTCGTCAAATTTCATGTGTTGGTTTAATTAAAGGGAAATGGCAATATAAATTTTTATTTTCTCATTTAAAAGAACTTTTGAAACTATATACTAACTTCTTTTACAGATTTTTCATATCTTGCTCAAATATTTTCACTTGAATTAAGAGATGTCCGCCATCATGGATACATTTTGTATCTCATTAACGGTAGTTTTGGTGACGTCACAACAGGGATTAACCATCTAAAAGTACTCGTTGCTGACCAAATATTGATTGGTAGATGTTTTAAAGGTTTTGAGTGATCTTGATATTTCCAAGGGCAGACAGAGTATAGTTTTGAATGCAGAATGATTAGTGGTTGTCTAGATAAAAATATTGCGTGACCCCTGTTGTGACATGACATGCATATCTACAAAAAATGAAGATCGCGGACATTCATTCCTTTCGATCAAGATATTTTTGTAGAAATAAGCAAGATATGAAAGAACGGTAAATGAGTATTATATATAGTCTTAAAAGTTCTTTCAAATGAGAAAATAAAAAATATACTGCCATTTCCTTTTAAGCAACATTGATTGGAGAGGGGAGGGCGAGGGGAGCGGTATTGTAACTATTGTGTATTGTGTATAACAAACTGCAATGATCCACTTACAATCTAAAACTACGTGTGTCCCAATAACTTGTGAAAGTGATTGTAACTCAGCATGCTTCTCTCGTGTGTGGATAGTTTTCGAGAGGATTTGACCTCTCGAGGCCTCACTTGAAAATATCTATATCGTGTTTGATATTTTTCACGAAAAAATCTAAACGTCTGCGGATGTTGCGAGCTTAGTGCTGAGCTGCTTGCATTAACTAGCCAATGAGAACCCATAGTTTCCTCACGTGACTTTGGTCAAAATCATGGCGACAATGGAGGGAAAACTGAGCAAACGATCTTATCAACGATGTTGTTATTGAGTAGTTTTCCCAACACTGATGTGCGGTGAAATATGCATGGCTGAGCTAGTCGCTACGCGAGGCGGTTAGCTCCATAGAAATTATAAATAACACTAGAGGAGGCATTGTAATCTTAATTCAGTAAAAAAAAGGGAACGCGACTATTGGGGGGCAAATTCAAGTCCCGGATGTGTATTCGTGTTCCCATTGGTGACGAGTTTCAAATCAGCCAATGAGAGCACGATTTTATATCTGTGACTTGAATTTGCCCCCCATTAGCTGCATTCCCAATTTTTAAACTCGATGCCTCCTCTAGTGTTATTTATAATCTCTATGGTTAGCTCAGCAAGTTTCTCTCGTGTGCGGCAGGCAATTCAATTGAAATTTACCAGAACGTGTTATTTGGATGTAATATTTCAAATCCGACTATGAGAGCTGGACCAGATTTCAAGTCCGCGCAATTTGATCAAGTCCGAAGCAAAGCCGAGGACTGAATCAATAGGGCCATTTATACGGGACAAAATAAGTCGCGACTTACATAAGACGCGTCTTATGCGTCTTGAACGCGCGATCTGTGAGGAACAAAACAGCGGCTATTATGGATTACATACGCGACAACAATGTGGACCTGTGTGCAATCATTGAAGCTTGGTTGACTCCAGATGACGCAGCGGTAAGGGCAGAACTTTGTCACCTAATGGATTCAAGTTTCTAGACAACCCTCGCACTGGCCGCCGTGGTGGCGGGATTGGGTTGCTTTACCGCGACTCTCTGCAGGTCAAAACAGTCAACTCGGGAGAGAAGAGCTCGTTCGAATTCTCTGAGTGCATTGTGACATCATCATCCTCTCGCGATCTACGAGTTGTCAATATTTACCGCCCCCCATATTCTGGTGAGCACAAAGTTACCACCTCGAGTATTTTTTACGGAGTTCGCGAACTATTTTGAAGCCTTCCTGTTATGTAAAGAGCAGTTGATAATTACGGGGGATTTCAACATACATATCGATTCCCCTGAACAACCGGATGCACGGACGTTCCTCGACCTCTTAGATTCTTTCGGTCTTAAACAGAATGTTATGCAACCTACTCATATCAGCGGACACACCTTGGTCCTACTTATTACTCGCATATCAGAAGATATTATAAAGGACCCTCCTGTTGTTGATCGCTTTATATCAGACCATGCTTCAATTCTGTGCAATCTGCAGCAAGCAAAACCAGCTCTAACTATAGTGTCGAGAACCTACAGGAAGATTAAATCTGTGAATCTGGCATCACTCGAGGCAGATTTAGCTATGTCTGGATTATGTAGGGATTCACTCGAAGAATATGATCTTGATGAACTTGTTCGGAAATACGATAACGTACTTTCTGATGTTACAGAACGTCACGCTCCTTTGAAGACCAAGAGAATGGTGGCGAGACCTGCTGTTCCCTGGTACAATGAGGAGATTGATATTGCTAAACGGTTACGACGAAAAGCCGAAAGGAAGTGGAGGAGAACCAAATCGGTCGTTGACTTTACTCACTTTAAACAGAAGAGAAACCAGGTGACGTACATCATGAATCAGGCCAGACGGAAATTCTACGCCGATTTTATTGAAGAGAATAAGGCAGATCAGGGACAATTATTTAAGGCCGCCAAAAAACTTCTGGGAAAAAAAGAGGAACTATCTTTTCCAGATCATTTTGAAAAAGTGTCCTTGGCCAATGACATCGGCAGATTTTTTGTAAGGAAAATTGAGAATATACGCTCAGACATTAACGCGGTCCAATTCGATCTTGATGTAGTACCCAAGGATCTGGTGCTAAACGAAACTCAGACATTCAGTGATTTTCAGCAACTCACTGAGGAGGATGTAACAGCGCTAGTACAAAAGTCAGGGAAAAAGTCATGTGCACTTGATCCCATGCCTACCGGATTAGTAGTCAAGTGCTATATAAATTGTAATTATTATTATTATTATATTAGCGGAGTTATCGATGTTGGGTTATCGTATAAATGGTTCTCTACGGCTCTAGTCTTATTTACTTGCTATAGCTATGTTGTTTTGGTTGTTTTTGTTTTAATATGCAAGGCTAATAATTTTACGTCAGTTGTTTCAAGTTTCAGGCATGTGTATTTAGACTTTTTATCCAAAATGTCTTATTTATTTAAGTGACTTAAATAAGAACATGCAGCTAAAAATCCTGTTCTTATTTAAGTCGCGTCTTATCCAAGACGCGACTTACATAAGAATTTTGTACCTTTTATACGAACTCGCGTCTCATTTAAGTCGCGTCTTATGTAAGTCGCGACTAATTTTGTGCCGTATAAATGGCATGAGGACTTGAAATCTAGTCCAGTCTGAATTGGAGGATTTGAAATGACATCTCATACGAATAAATCACTACTAAAAGTCAGGAGAATAAATTTTGATCCAGTCCAAGGACTGAATTAATTTTGATCCAGTTCTGGGACAGGATCGGTATACTTTACCAGGTATCCAGTATTATCATGTGAGCAAAATAAAGCAATACGCTTGGATAATTTACCATGAATTATTAATGAGTTTGAGATGTACGCATAGAAAATTCAAGGACTCAAGGACTCGATAAGTATTCAAGAATATTAATTAACCAATCTTTACTTCTTCGTTATTTTAGGGCTATGAAGCCGACCCAACAGATCCACCGTGTGTTGCAGACGGAGAACTATGTACAACAAATGAGCAATGCATCAGAATGTGTTCCACTGGAGGTCCAGGGTTTTGTGATACTAGTATAAGTCCGTCTGCATGTTTTCCGGACGGAGAGAGTGGCCCGGTTAGAGATATGGATGACGGCTTTGAGCGCAACTTTTCACATTTGAGGACAAAGATATAAAACTATTATAGACATTATATATCTATGCTAGATATACCTTATACTGTATATTTATTATTAAAACCATTGTAAATTATTGTATGAAATCTTATGTCAGTTGTATACTGTTGTAAGTGCCAGCACTGCATGTCATCGACTTATTCAGGGACCGCGGAGCCTGTTTAAAAGTGGGAGTGGGGGCAGGATAGCAAAGGAGCTATACCACGCAGGCAGGCTGGATTTTATCCTGTAATTTTTTTCTCCACCGAAAAAGTGGGGGGTCCATGCACTCCCCACCCCCCTGTTCCGCGGTTCCTGTTATTTATTATTTTACAAACAAATAATACAGTCTCATCTTAATTAATCAGTTACATTTATATAATATGATATACTTTAAATGAATTAATCCTACCAGGATTTACTTAATTAACACATATCATTATGTACATATTACGCTACGGAACAAAATATACTCTTATTTATGAAGCGATCCGCTAATACCATAGATATCTTATATACACTAGATAGTGCAGCATCTAATTATTCTGCAATTCAAAAATTGAAGCCGTGATTGCAGTCTCAGGTCGTTCCCATGAAATGAGAAGATTCGTATGTTTTCTATTTATTAAACAGGGAACTTAAACATTAAGTTAACCCTATTCCAAATACATCTTCAAACTATTCAAATGATGAAAGTTTTTGTTGTTTTTATGCGTTTATTAGGAAGTGGGAACGACCAACATGGCCGCCATCTATTCAAATGGGGGTAACCGCTGGAATATTCTTGGCTTTAATTTTACTAAAAGAGATGCGCTATCTAGTGTATATAAGATATCTATGGCTAATACAGTATAGAGAAAATATAACCAGCTCTTCCAAACAATGGTATGTGTTCAGAACTATGAAATTGATTTAGTGGAAAACCTCCATGGAGACCTTCTGAGCAGCTGTGTACTGTCTACAGACTCCGTTATAATAGCAAAGTTCAGACTTGAATTCCACTATACCGCTACCATTAGCCAATCAAATGCATTTGACATACCCGATTAACCAATCAGATGCGTCCTAAGCCAGTGAGAGGTGGTGATAGCGGTAGTAGAAGTCAATTCTGAACCTCTCTAATAACTAAAGCTAGATTTCCACTTGCAAGAAATATTTCGCTGTCGCAATCAGTTTTTCGATTCGCTCAGTCTCTTTTCAATTAAGGGGTGTTTATATGAGAGCGGCTAACCCCGCGGCTAACCAGATCGACTAATTTCTTCCATGTATTTCCGAGTGGCTTCAAAAACTTTCCTAAAATAGAGTTGTTGGAATATTCGGTGTGAAATTGTCTTTCAGTTAATGGAAATTTTTTCTTGTCTAAAAGGAAAGACAGTCGTGATATGAATCAACCCCGATATTATACTAGCTTCTCTCATATAAACAGCTCCTAAAGCCTGGTTCCGGCTCCTAAAGCCAGGTCTTTTTGTCTGGCAAAGTTTTTGTGATCACAGTAGGAATTTTGCAAAGGTAAATTCTAAGTTTTGAAAGATTTGTAAGAAACGTTTGAGGAAACTTACTGAGTGTTTATCGTTTACTCAAACATTTCTTATAAATCCTTCAAAACTTAGAATTTACCTACGCAAAATTCCTACTCTGATCACAGAAACTTTGATAGTGTAAACCATGCAGGCTTAATTAAGGTAATCCAAATCACACATTGCAGTATTACATGTTCGACATAGTATCTTGGCAAAATATTACCTAGATTATTGCTGAACTGTTCTTTGTTTGCACTTGACGTCATGGCAGCCATGTTGGAGGGAGGCTAACAAAAGAATATTGTTAGCAGCTATTGTATTTGAAGCGTGCCGTTTCCTCCGACTTGGCTGCCATGTCTTTGTCTTATAAATCCCAAAGGGTTCATTGCAAACCATCAATGAAGATGACAACATATTGCCATAAAACAGTAAAATAGTAAACTACATATTAATAAACTTGTACCTAACAATTAAGGGACAAGTCATTAACTCATTAATCATGACGGGGGGTGGCGCCGAAGAGAAATTTTTTTCTTGGTAAACATTTTGCTGATCCAACAGTTAGTTTTAGTCAAAAGATTTTCTACTCAACCTCAAATATCAACTAAAAAATAAATACCTACCCCTGGCCAAAAACTTTACAAAAGGATACCATTCACTTGTCACACACTATAGCTTGGGCAATTTTCTGCAGTCTAGAGTTTTATGTTGTCTGCATGCACATGTACTTTCTTTGGAGACACCATTTGCTTTCTTCCAAATCGAAAAATCGTCAAGGTGAGTGACTCTGATTGATATTGTATTGACAGATGACTGTGGACATTGCTCTTTAGTCTTCGATATATGAGCGAGTCATGCTTTGGAATTGACAATAATTTTTTTCCCAACCCTTAAGTTGTTTTGTTTTTAGTTTACCCGCGACATTTTACTCATTCAAAATGTTGTTTACCCAACCCTTTTCTCTTCGGTGCCACCCCCAACCACAAATAATGACCATGCAGTCCCTAAGCCAAACTTAAATATACTATAATTGTAAAATCATTAATAATTCATAAAGAAAATTCAAAAGAAATGTTTAATGAGGTGCTGTATCCATCACTTTTTCTGGCTGAAATCGTTGTTTCACAAGCTACAGTATATACAGCATTCGTGTCCGTATTCATATCAGACATACAACCTCTCGCTTTTAGCTCGAGTTTGTGTATCCATAGGCATACAGGAGGAAGGGAGAAGGAAGGGGAGGGCAAAGATGTTCGAAACAGGGGCTGATTACATGGAGAGAGTTTTCAGCCCGGACTGAATTTCAACCTGGTTAGCCGAGCTCAAATTGTTTCACGACAACTGATTATATTACATGGTAAGTTTCTGGCACCAGGATGAAATCTTAGCGCTGAGCCGCGAGAGCTATTTCGCTTCTTTGAAAAATTATTTTTCTCTATTATTTGATTTGTGCGAACTCGACTGTGATTGCATTTAAAAGTTTTAAAAATAGTACAGACAAAAATAAAGCCACTGAAACGATTGCTTTTTAACACGGGCTAAAATTTCGGCCTGGTCAAATGAAATGGTCAACCCGGGTAGCTTCAACCGGGCTGAAGTTTTCGTCATGTACGCGCTTCTTGTGTTTTAATAGGATTCAGGGTCGTAGCCACGGGGGGGGGGACGGGGGTCCGCCGCCCCCCACACTTTTCTCAGGACCAATTTTGTAATTATTCTAAAACTAAGGAGAAACAGGGACTTGGGTGGCGCTTTCGTCAGAGCAATCGCCTGGTCACATCTGAGATCGTGGGTTCGAGTCTCGCTATGGACTCATGTGTGGACTCATGTGAAAAGAGTCTGTAAACGCTCTGCCGAAAGTCGTGGGTTTTCTCCGGGCACTCACGTTTCTTGCCATAGTGAAAGTTGACAGGGTGGGTTAGGATAAACACACTGTAGTTAGGAAAGTATAATATCATAATTGTTGTAAAAATAAATAGCTTGGTACGCGGCAAAAAACGCCGAGCCTGCTGCTCAACAGGATTGAACAATGTTTTTCTGCCCACGTTGTTCACACTTGTCAACTGTATTGAACAATATTGTTGAGCCTGAATCGGGTGTAACAATATTGTTCACAACTGTGAACAATGTGGGCAGCAAAGCATTGTTCAATCCTGTTTTCATCAGTATTGCAACAACCTGATCGTTTGTTTGCCGTGTAGGTAATATAAGTAATCGTAATACTTGATGTAATCTGTCACTGAAAACTGCCCCGATGGGGAGTGAGCAGATAATCATAATCATAATCAAACAGCGAAGGGGCTAACCTCGTTGTGCTTTCATCAATAACATAAAATATACCAAATCTGTGGCTTTCAGATTATCATAAAACGTGTATGAAATACATGAAATAGCATTTCCAAGACCCTAAAATAGAAACTTTTTCCGGGGGGACCATGCCCCGGATGGCCGAATCCCCTAGTAGTTCTGTGTATTCAACTATTGGCACCCCCCTCCCCCCGCACACTTGTTTAGGGCTGGCTACGCCGCTGGTAGTATTTTACCTGAGACAGTGTCAGGGTTGAAAACTCTCCATGTGATCAGCGCCTAAAGCAGTTCATTCCGCACACTCTTCACTACATTGATTTAACTCACGAAGGCAATCTTGGAAACTTTTGTCATTTTGCCCTGAATATTGTTCATAGGCATTCACCCACGCCAGTCCCTTCATAACGACTCTTGTAGTTTTACAATTGTCCATCCATTCGCTAGGTGCAAAATGGCAAATCATGAAACGGCCATCCTTTTTTCCAAGGGTCCGGAACTCTTGGGAATGGAGCGGAAGTGGTTGGCCATTTTCTTCGAAAAGCTCTTCTGGGTAAACGATAGCGAGACTTGGGCAGGAATTTGGGTAATCGTGGTGGAAATGAACTCGGAGTATATACGTTTTCTGTTGCGATGATGTAATTGTGACATCGACAGCCCTTCGATCGTTGCGCCAATTAACCTTTCCCCGACCGAAATACTCATGTAAGCTGTCGCTTTCCAGAGCTAAACGCCTCACTTGTGCGTCCGACCAGAATTGCATGGGAGCCGAATGGCTTTCGTTTTCGGCATGACGATACTTTTGAATATACTGAGCCAAGATCACACCAGTAGCTGCATGCTGTTCGTACGCATTAAGCCACAGTGTACCATTCATAACAATTTGGTGAATGAAAATGCCAGCATTAGGATTAGTAGTAGAATAGCGAGGCGAAATACGTTGAAATCCTTCGTGCGTTCGACCAAGTGTTTGGAATTCTGCAGCGTTCTCAGGAATTGCAGTTCCGTTTCGTTGTTGGAGATTAGGTGGTCGGACAACGGCTAGTGTTGGATTGGAAAGAGGAAAATCTTCGGGGATATACAAACGAAGTGTGTACTTCGTTCCGGTTAGACTTCGCACGGCGAAATCCACAGAAATTTGGCCAGATGTTTCGTTACATTCAGGTAGGACTTGTAGATTTCTTTCGTCAAAATATCGACGAAGGTCCTCTTTCGAAATTCGTGGTCTTTGCGCTTCTGCCATTATTCCAGAGGAACACTTTCATACATGCCGAATTATGTAGGGTGTTATCGAAGACATTTTGTATGATTTCGACCAAAAGGTGGCCCAAAAACGAAAGTGAAACGGCTGTCTTCCGAGAAAGTAAAAAATACCTGGAAATCTTAGTCATTCTCGCTCAGCTTGATTTCACTTTTTTATTATTAAAATATTCACCACAAATGTTTATACTTACACTGCTATACATAACATGTTACAAGACAACGTACGTGATTATGATTCAGGATAGGAACAGGACTTTCGTTAACTTTACAGTTAACACTCTCACCCCTTATAACTAAGCACTCTCTCGGCGTATGAACAAACAAAGACCCTGACCATGAACTTTATAAACATCACTATGTATATTTTTACATATATAGTCTATCAAGATATGATGCATGATTGCATGCATGAGCTCATTGTATTTTCGTATAATGAAGTAATCGTCCATACTCAATATAGGGAAAGCTGAGATGAAATTTACGTATACAACAACGATGAATAATATTTGATGAAGTTGAGACAAAGGATTTGTGCACGATGAGGTTACAGTTCAACATCAAACAAAGGTCTTAGTCTATTTTGTGGCTTTGAAGTTTGCCAGGCTTCCAGACCATCTTATTTTGACAGACTATCAGAAACTCAATTATTGATAGCTACGGGCAGGAAGTTTGTATTGCTAGTTTGCTACTATATATAAATTAATTAAACGTGTTCCAAACGAAAAGAGTTACAGTAAAGTATAACATGCCTGTCTGTTTGTATTTTGATTGAAATAGTCATGTAGTAGCAACAAAACTTATATAGATAGATAGATAGATAAAGCTTATGCCTTATTACAACAAAGCAACCCAATTATTATAACGGTATTAATATTAACCCTGCCCCTGGGTTTAAATTTAACCTGCTGTTTCGTGTTTGTATTCCCGGCGTAAGTCCATTTATTTCAAAACGTTAGAAAATAAAACTGACCTCAATCGATCCCTACGTCACTCGTGAGTTTTGTTTCAAAGCTTGGACTAAGCTATTAAATCGGCTTTTGAACAGCCAGCCGCTGAAGTTCACCGTTATACCCTAATAATAACCCTCAATATTGCTCCAGCTAAGACTGAATTGGAAGATTTGTAATTTGTGGCTGTCTACATCGCAGCTAGCGACGCCAAGGCTAGGTTTAGTTAAATTCTCATTAAACGTAAAGCTACTAACTTAATTAATATGTTATTTTGCTCGCAAACTGTCTCTTACGTATAAAAGTGATCGTTTCTAGGAAACGTGTCCCTTTATTCCGGGAAAGCAAAATACCTGGAAACTGCAGTCATATGATAGCGGTCAACTTATTTATTGTTCTTGTCGGTTTCTGTACTTGAAGAGAATTATTCAGAAACTAGGAGAATACGATTAATTTAGCAAGGCAACCAATGTAATGTCATTCCCAATTTTCTGGCTTCCGCCTTGAAATTCCTCCCGCTTGCATTTTCAAGCACCCTTTGGGCTTTGTATTATAAATCCCGAATAAAAACCCACGAGATGTTCGTGGATACTGCGTGGATAATTCGTGGATACCGCGTGGATTCGCACAATGCTGTGCATACTGAGCAGCTGTTTCTCATGCCGTTTGCAAAAAATGTCCTTCGGAGTATAGAGTGAATTTATGTTCTAATGGTCTCTAATTTCAATAGTAAGTAAGTATAGTATAGCGAGTAATTAGTCTAGCGTATCAATTTCGCGATCTCATCCGATCTTATAATGACTTCTGACTAAAAGAATACTTTTGCTAAGAAGAAAAAGGACGTCGCTGGTGTGTTTGTATTATAGCAATAGGTCTGGATGAAAGAACTTTTTGACCAATACCCTTTTGATTGAGCCAAGCGACTCGGAAAAGAATCAAGGTTTACTATTTGTATAATTGAAAGAAAGTGAACTTCAATTAATTATACGATAATCAACAGGATACTCAATGAAAGATAAACACAGCGGGGAAAAGACATCACATCTTTGTGCCTTTAATTCACAAGGAAACTACTGCAGACGTCATGTATACCTTGCAATAATGAATTTTGTTTAAATCCATTTGTCAGTGTCCAATCACTTACAATAGCTTCTCGAATTTATTATCAGACCAATAAGACGAGGGTTCTACTCCGAATTCCCTTCAGTCAACGCGCGCGAATCCGACTTCAAGCCAGTTCCACTAGCCGGCGAATTTGTTCACACAAAGCCGAGTGAAAAACGAGTTTCGGCAATGCGGTTAGTTTGCGAAAATGCTGGTTTTCCACTTACAAATTTTTTCGCGCGAAGCGAATGTCTTTTGTCGCGAATATTATACCTTATAACTTATTATTAGTAGAAAATGGACTTTATGCTGGTTTTCCACTTGCCATTTTTTTCGCGCGAAGCGAATGTCTTTTCTCTCTCAACTGAAACCATCTGAAACTAACTGGATAAAGACAAAAGAAAAATTCGCTTCGCGCGAAAAAATTCGCAAGTGGAAAATCGGCTTTAGAAAACATTACGCGAGGTCATGCATATTGCTCCCATTTGCGCAATTTTTGACGATGTAAAATATTATGTTTTCCGGTGTAAGACTTCAGATTCAGACACAAGATTTCAGTTCAAGTATGCAATATCTTCACTCTATTCCGAAACAGCCAAACAGGGTTTCAAACAGGAATTTCTTAACTTCTCCATACACATTGCGAAACGCGCTATATCAAGCTTGATATGCTGCTGTGAATTTATTGGATGAAAAATTGCGTTTTGGGGGAAAATGTTCTAGAAGGCCCGACTGATAAGCCAGAGGTAATTATAAGTGGGTGTGCAATGTGTAGTTCAAGGTCAGTTTGGTCGAACTCCTTGTGTAAATCAAATTCGCGTACTTGCTGACTTTGAAAGTAAAAACACATAACCAAAAACCCCGAACGCTAAAGATAAACGGGCAACAAAATCGCAGCAATTTGCAACAAAATCTGATTTCAATGCATGTTAAGTGAAAAAGTTCACACATAAGTAGGCTGCGTAGCTTTCGGTTTTAAACTACACGTGCGCAACACCGTTGAATTAACATGCGGCGCTGAAATCCGAAATTTTATTGCAAGCTGCTGCGATTTTGCGACCTTTCATACAAGAACTTATGTAATCAAGTATGAACATGGAACTTGTGTAGTGCAAGACTTACATCACCACTGTACGAATAAAAACGTACACTTTCTTTTCGTGTTTTGGTAAAGGACAAATATGACACATGCATCCACTTTCGTGATCGGTTTGAATATTTGCGTGAGTTTGCCTCAGGTAAAAGTGTGCAGGCAACACATAACATAAACAGCAACAGGAAATTCGTAAAAGCGGTGTCACGCGTCATCTTGTTTTAATATTAAGAAGCATAAAACAACACTTGTTTTTCAGTAGGCTTTGAACTTTACCCCCACCCACATTACTGGGGATGTTGCCAAAATACACAGAACTAGCATGGTCATGTATGGTTGCCGCGAAGTCTGGATTTATCTTTTCGTTTGTATATACTACGTAATCAGTGTGGAGATATATCGACACTCTATCCCATTTAAATGTGAAATAGTCTCAGGATCTATCTTGTCTTTTGTGCACTGTATGCAAATCAGCTTTTACTGATTGTGCATGGAGAAATATCGACACTCTATCCCATTAGGCTACATGTGAAATAGTCTGGATCTATCTTGTCTTTTGTGTGGCTGTGATGCAAATCAGCTTTTACTGATTGTGTTGATATATCGACACTCTATCCCATTACATGTGAAATAGTCTGGATCTATCTTGTCTTTTGTGCACTGTATGCAAATCAGTCTTTATTGATTGTGGCGATATATAGGCACTCTATCTCATTATACAGTACATGTGAACTAATCTGGATCTGTCTTGTCTTTTGTGCACTGTATGCAAATCAGTCTTTACTGATTGTGGAGAGTATATCGACACTCTATCCCATTGTACATGTGAAATAGTCTGGATCTATCTTGTCTTTTGTGCACTGTATGCAAATCGGTCTTTACTCACTGATTGTGGAGATACATTGACACTCTATCACACATGTGAAACAGTCTGGATCGATCTGGTCTTTTGTGTGGCTGTGATGAGGGTGATGCAAATCATTTTTTACCGATTGTGAAGATATATCAACACTCTTTCCCAATATCCCATTGCATGTAAAATAGTTTGGGATCTATCTTGTCTTTTGTGTACTGTATGCAAATCAGTCTCTATACAGATTGTAGAGATATATCGACACTCTATTAAATTAAATGTGAAATAGTCTGGATCTATCTTGCCTTTTGTGTACTGTATGCAAATCAGTCTTTACTGCATGATTGTAGAGATACTGTATATATAGTATCTGTTCCCGGACATGCTTGAAATATTAATTGACGTACAATAGAGATTGAAATAAAAAAGAGCAGTATACCTGAACTGTTATAGAATTATTCTTAGTGTTCTTCCTGCAAATTAATAGGATTAATATACGATTGCCTTTGCAACCAGTCTATATGAGCTTGTTTTCTGTTCCAATTGAACAATATTGGCTTCTGTTCCTAAAGATGAAAAATAAGATTCCATTCTAAACTACACTGTATTTTAGATAACGATATATCAATTCTAAGAAAGCTTCGCCGGATTGATAAGGATGGAACTAACTGAAAAAGACAAACAGAATGTCGACGTTTCGAGCCTGAAGGCTCTTCGTCTACTACTCCCCGACTAAGAGCCTTCGCTCAAAACGTCGAGGTTCTCCTTGTATTTTTCAGCCAGTTCAGTGCATTTCTAATTATCAAGAATCAATTTTACACTGTTCTTCCTAGAGGTTGAATAACAGTCATTGCTTATTATACTATGTCCATGATGTTACTATACGAATTACACGAAGCTTGGTTTCCATATGGATGGTCGTAAGAATAGAGTCACGATCTTTCTCAAAGACCAGTTTATAATAGTTTATACCTCTATAAACCACATATAAATCATAAGTATTCTCTAGTTATAATCACTCCACGTATTTTCAGTTCTAAAATGTTAGTGTACCTCGGCTGGTGAGAAAGACCGCGTGACTCAATCTTTACGACCATATGGAAACCAGGCTTATTTTTGCATACGCAAAACAAGATACAGCTTCCTAATAAAAATCAAAGGAGGAGAACAAAAATTATAGACTGCTCGTCGAGTTTACTAGATCTTTCTTTGGCAAGCAAACGTGTAAGCGCAAACAAAGCCTGTTCACAGTAGCATGCTAGCAAAACAGTTCACAAGTTAACAAAGCACGCCAGCTTTGTTTTTATTCATAATAACAACGAAATATAACCTTTTCACACTTGCGGCAATAACAAGCGGAACTAATCTGTAGAAAATGATCGTTTAGGACAGCAAAAACAATAAAATGGGACGGGCGTGCATTCATTCATGAACTATAAACGCTCAAAGCAATTTCCTGCGCGTTTTCTGGAGTCGCTTGACGTGGACACTGGCTGTTTTCTTAATTATATCTCGAATTTTGCAAGGAATATCAATTAACACGAAGGTTAAGAAGTGGGTGGCACTGTAATGAGCGTTATAACGTCAAGTTTTGTGGTAGGAAGAAATCTGGATTCAGATATAGGATTCAGACTAGACTCAGACTGGACTTGGATACTAATTCGTGCTTGAATATTTTTGGGATTTGGGATTAAGACAGATGAGAATTTTCCGATATCGGCCGCCGATAACCAATATACCAGAAATTTTACTTCAAAATTACAAATGACAATAGACAATTCCCATTATAGACTAATTTTTTATCTAATATAAAATAATACATATTTTTTTATTTTTATAATATAAAAAGTATGTTCCCGGAAAGGGCATACTAAAATGAGTAAAATTACAACGTTTGGTTGCGAAATGTTGTAAAATGCGGAAAATATAGCCTTGCAAATTTCGCAAATTTTGTATACTTTTGAATTACGTGCGGAAGTTGCTAACTTTGCAAGGCTATATATTTTCTGCATTTTACATGCAACATTTCGCAACCAATTGCAAACTTTGCAAGTTTACTCATTTTAGTACGCTCTTCCTAACTGTGGTGATTTATTTGCATCTCATTCCCTACTAGTTTCTCAGTAAAATTAGTCTATGTATAATGGGAATTGTCTATTGGATCGACTTACTGTAGAGACTTCATCATATCTATGAGTTAAAATGTTAAAATGCAATGAAATTTCTTTCAAGGTTCTATTTGTTTGAAATTGGCAGTTTAAAATGACACTAAAAACCCAATATAAAATATAAAAAACTTAACTGTCTTGAAATATTTTGTCGGGCAGCACATTTATATTGTATAACCAAATATAAAAAAATTTCACGCGGCTCTTAAAATACAGTCGGGCGGTGATGAGAATCAAGGAATTTATTTTATGTGGCCTTAGTATACTTCAAAAGGTAGCAAGCTGTATAAACTAGACAATAATACCAAAACAAAGTGATTTCTGGAGGTACGCCAAAAAGATTTTTGGTTTTGAACATTTTTCATCGACAATACGTGTCATGGAAACAAATCTCCTCTTAATAGATATAGACAGTAGACAGTAGATAGTATAGCAGTGAACCCAGGCAGCAGTTCGGAGTCCGTATTCGAGTACGGAGTCACAAATCCAGGTTTTGTGTTGTACCACGAGGTGCGCTGCGTATAAAAGGGACGTGCCAATGGCCAGTCATACAGAACGGCAAGAACAGTTGCGCAAGTAAGATCGCGGTGTATTTGAAATTTATTTGAGCACGTGAGAGGTTTGGAGTGTTGAATTTCCTGATCAGTGGGCAAGGTAAGGATGTAGACTTTGTTTTATAACTAATATGATCATTCTGTAAGAGGCAATTTTTCAAATTGCTTTTATAATATAATGGTCCGTTTACACCGCGGGCGTTGGCTGGGATTTTAACTCGTTGTTGGCCTGCTTATTTGGGAGAATGCGATAAACGTACTTGACCTAACGTTGCTCGAACTTTGCTAAGTCACAATCCAATAAACTCAAATAGGTTATACGTAGGGTTGGAGCTAGCGAATGCCAAGTTTGCAGGCTATGTTGGGGGAGATTGCTTTCACTGCCAAAATATCAATCCCCAACCAAATTGCACTAGAAATTTCAGGACTGACCTTTCCACCAATTCGGACTATCTAATCCTATATACCAGAAATTGTACATTTTTTCCTTTTCAACAAATATTGCCGCGACATGTTTATCAGTTCAGAAACGAACACGTCAATCAGGAATCTTCTTAATGCTTATGAGAAGGTAACGTCTCAAGCACTGGCAACTGCTTAAAAATCACACAAAAAAGGAGAGTCGAAGAGCAGAGGTTAAAGACAAGTGGTACTAAAAAAGTGAATTCCAAAATTTGACTGTCAAAATTCCAAAGACATGCAAGCAATTATATACTGGACCGGTTCCTAAATATCGTCGGAAAAAAAATGTGGTGAAGGGGTTCTACTCGTTCAAAAGCGTGGGAAAACCTGATGCGTTGAACGTTCTAAGTAAAAATTACCTCCTCAGTTGTACGATAAAGTCATAACAACAACGAATAAATCTAAGCCAGGTGTATTTTATAATGAGTTAGCCGACATTTTATATTAATTTATTGCAATTGCTTTTATTGTCCTTACAATGTACCGTGTTATTAATTAAACTGCATTATGATTATACGCGAGGTTCACACGTACTCGAAATGAACTTGACATCTCTTGCCCAATTAAAAATCAATTAAACTGGCAATATTTATTCATCTTCTTAACATAATATTGTTACATACACGCCTTCGGGGAAATTTCAAAACTTGCATCTGATTGGTTCGGCATCGTGTAATATTATCGAATACATATGCGAGCATTAAAACTTAACATGTTACGTTGGCGTGGAATATCGAAAATTGCCGAAAAGCGGCATGTACTGTACAAAAATTACACTTTTTCATAAAAAAACACTGGATCACTCAGCGACAACGCCTTGACCTTTCATCCATTGTAATTATTTACTAATAGTGGGTAGCTCGATCTATCAGTTCTACTGTTCTCCCTAGAGGTCCAGTAAGAGCCATCCCTTACTGTTCCAATGTTGCTACAGGAGGAAACCTAAACTAAACAAACTTTATTTATACTGGATACTGTAGTTCTATCAGTTCTAAACTGTCCTTCCTAGAGCTCCAGTATTAAAAGATCATCTCTTATTGCCATATTAATCCAGTGTTACTACACGAGGAAACCTAAACTAAACTAAGTTTATAATACTTTGTGTTTGTGGAAACACCATGTGAATTTAGCTTACGGATCGAAAGCTTTGCAATTTACGTGGTGTTTCCACAAACAAAAAGTATTATATGTTTTATCACCATGCAATCCTCCAAAGAACTAACTTTATTTATATGGGATAGCTCAATCAGTTCTAAACTGTTCTTCCTATGCAGATTATAGAGGCACAGGAAGGATTATCTCTTCACTGTTTGATCAAATGTTCAACAGGAAGAATCTAAACTAAAGCCTGGCGCACACGATGCGATTTTAGTCGGCCGATAAAAATCGTTTGCAATACCGATATACATCGGTATACTCCGCACACGATTACGAAAAAAATATGCTCCCTGAACTGTATAGCCGCCATGTTGCCAAATAAATACAAGCACGTGATCACAGCATGAAATCTGATTGGTCATACTTAAAATTCCATGCACCGATAAAAATCGTATAATATCAAAACGTTTTGACGTTGTCCGATTAAAATCGAGCAACAAATATCGGTTAAAAATGACACCACACACACAACGATTTTGTTAGTTTTAGTCAAACGATTTTTATCGGCCGACTAAAATCGCATCGTGTGCGCCAGGCTTTAATCATCAGTTCTAAACGGTTCTTCTTGGAGGTCCAGTAAGGTCCATATAAACGGTCCACCCTCATTAAATACAACATTAAACGTTCAGTGATGGCAAACTTGAAACACTTTTCTCAAATGCGGTGGTATTATATAAGGACTAAGGTGGTATTATATAATATGATATAAGAAGATTGCGTACTGCATGAATCGTAGGCCGGTAGGGTAAGAAAACACCACTCAACAGAACTGCGTGAATTCATTAAAAACAATTCGCGAAAAACAACAACAAAGGTTTCACTGGTATATATGCACACACGAAGAACAATGAACGAAAAGGAGGTCGCACCGACTAGCACGCCAGCAACTTTTGTTGAACCATGTGCACATGCAGTAGGTCAAGGACAAGGTTATTATTATTCATTTTACTTTAATATCTGCATGAATTCTAAAATCCAATTGCGGCCCGCTCAAATCAATTTGCGGTGAAAAAATATTGGAAGAGATAATAAGAATACACTCTTTATTTCATGAGGGTACTGTAAGCACGGAATAGTTGCAATAACTATAATAAACAAGTACATGGCCTCTAAAATGCTTGTTGACTCAGATTAAAGTTGATGTCCACTCCTGTGCACATGCGCGAACTTTGTTTACGTTTTGAACTGCTATATTTGTATAAAATATGATATACTAACTGAATATCTAACACTTTTCTGGTTTGCTTTACTTGTAAATTAATGAATATAAACTGTACGTTTCAATTCAAAAAAGTTCGAAAGATGCAAAATTTGGGCAATGTTTATATCTGGGGGTCCCCTTTGTTATGAGCAGAACTGATGCGCAGAACGGAGTGGGCATCATCTTTAAATCTTACTCCAGTGGTGAGGCTATAGCCATATAGCAACAGGTCATGCTATGCAAATTCTTAACTGATGATTTGCATTATTCGAACCCTAAAGCCCGCCGCACACGAGAGCAACCTGCTGAGCTAACCGCCTCGCGTGACAGCTAGCTCAGCTATGTATTTTCACCGCGCACGTTGGGAAAACTACTCAACAACCATATAATTGACAAAATCATTTGCATTTTCCTCCATTCTGTTCCAAGTCACATGAAGAAACCATGGTTTGTCATTGGCTAATTGATTCAAACAGCTCAGCACTTAGCTCACAACGTCCGCTGATGCTGAGATTTGTTCCTGGCGAGGCGAAAAATATCAAACACGATACAGTCGATAGATATTTTCATCAAGGCCTCGAGAGGTCAAATCCTCACGAAAACTATCCGCACACGAGAGCAACTTGCTGAGCTAACCGCCTCGCGAGACGGTTAGCTCAGCAAGTTGCTCTTGTGTGCGGCGGGCTTTAGAAACGTATTGTCTTTAACCTATTTAAAGATGCAGGTTTATTGGCATAGCATAGAAGTTGTCATGGCTAGCTAGTGCTACCATCTTACTCAAAATGTTTTATATGCAGCTGCATTATCGAACATTGTTGGACCAGGAACATTGTCCAAGCATTTTCGAAACGGTTTACTGAACGGACCTCGTTTGAGAAAATGATGAGCTACAGTAATTGCATTATACACCAGTGGTAAAGGAATTAGATATTATAAGTAATGGGGACTGCCGGAAATTTGTGGAGGGCACCGTTATACAACGAGCACATGCAGTTGGTCAAGGTTATTATTATTTATTTGACTTTGTTGATATCTGCATGAATTCTAAAATCCACTTGAGGTCCGTTCAAATCAGTCTGTGTGAACATTTTGTTGAATGTTGGTTGATGCTGAAAGACATTGACTCATTGACCTTCATTATTTTTTTACCCAACCTCAAATATTAATTTAAAAATAAATACCCACCCCTGGCCAAATCACTCAGTTACTACTTCTGTGCCATGAGTTTGATAACTGCTTCTGCAATTTTCTGCCGTCTAAAGTTTCATGTTGTCTGCGCATGTTTCTTTCGAGACACCATTTGCCTGCCTGACAAATCGGAACATGATCAAGAAGTGTCATATGTCAACAGCCTAGACCTAGGCCTTCTATTTTTATTTATATTTTTTTAATATTCAGCGCTTTTTCACATGAAAAGACTGGGACTATGTGATTTGGGGGCGGGGCGGACTTGCTTCCTCCGCCCCGCCCCCAAATCACCTAGTCCCAGTCTTTTCATGTGAAAAAGCGCTGAATATTAAAAAATATAAATAAGACTAGAAGGCCTAGGTCTAGGCTGATATGTCAATACAAAGTTCAATTTTTATTAACTGTCATATGTCAATACAAAGTTCAATATTCAAATCAATCGGAGTCACTCTCTTGATCATTTTCCGATTTCTCAGGAGGCAAATGGTGTCTCCAAAGAAAGTACATGTGCAGACAACATGAACAACTGCAGAAAATTGCACAAGCTGACGCAGCAGATCAAATTCATGTCACAGAAGTGATAATGTGTGACAACTGAATGTTATCCTTTTGCAACGTTTTTGGCCAGCTTCAATTTTTGAATTGTAGAATAATTAGATGCACTATCTAGTGTATATAAGATATCTATGGTTGGATCAGGAAAATTTTTGCCAAGAAGATTTCTTTTCTTTCCCCCCCCCCCCGACGCAAATAATGTCCGGTCCCTTATATACAAAACTGGTTACTCATCATTCAAGATTTAGCCTTAAATTGTTATTTGCATCTTTGCCAGTCACTGATCGCGGTGATTCAAAATATTTCCCCCCCCTCCCCCCCTCCTGACGTAAATAATGTCCGGTTCCTTATATGGAAAACTGGTTACTCATCATTCAAGATTTTAGTCCTTAAATTGTTATGTGCATCTTAGCCAGTCACTGCTCGCGGTGATTCAAAATATTTCTTTTCTCCTGACGTAAATAATGTCCGGTCCCTTATATACAGAACTGGTTACTCAACAGAACTGGTACTCATTCGCATCTTAGCCGCGGTCACTGCTCGCTGTGATTCAAAATAAAAACGCGAGAAAACAAAGCAGACATGTGGTGAAACTCAGTTGGTGCTCACAGCGAATCTCAGTGATCAATGCGTTAGTTCTCGGGTTATGCAATACGGAACGTTCATGCAATATTACATCACAAAAACCTGTTTTGCAAAATTGATAAGGGGTTGAACAAAACAACATTTCAGCTAAGATCAGACAAACAGTTCACAGAGATCTTCATGCAAATAACATTTGAATCGGTACAACATTGACCATAATTACAGTAATTTCGAGTGAGTATAATATGCAACGGATTCTCATGGGTGGGTTTTACAGAGTGGGAGTACAGCACATGGAATTTTTTTCTAAATACTTACATGGAAATAGTATGGATCTTCGCTGAGAATAGCATGGAAATCCAATTTTCGTACAAATTGCAATTTCCATACTATGGTATAATCTTAATGGACCATTCTCCAATTAACCAAAATTTTGATCTCAACAAGTCTAGACAAAATTCCATCATAGCATGAAATAGCATCACAAAATTAGTAATATTCCAAAGTTTCGTTGCGAAATGTTGTAAAATGCGGATAATATAGCCTTGCGAAATTTGCAATTTTCAGTCATTTTAGATTACAAACGGGAAATGCATGGTTACCACTTTTCCAAAATTTCGATCTTAACTAGCCTAAACAAAAATTTCATCACAGCTTGAAAGAGCATCGCAAAATTAGTAATATTCCAAAGTTTCGTTGCAAAATGTTGTAAAATGCGGATAATATAGCCTTGCGAAGTTTGTAATTTTCAGTCATTTTGTATTACGCACAGAAGTGGTAACCATTTCCCGTTTGTAATCTAAAATGACTGAAAATTACAAACTTCGCAAGGCCATATTATTTGCATTTTACAACATTTTGCAACGAAACTTTGGAATATTACTAATTTTGTGATGCTCTTTCAAGCTGTGATGAAATTTTTGTCTAGACTTGTTGAGTTCAAAATTTTGGTTAATTGGGGAATGGTCCATGGATTTAGTCAAAACAAAGTTCCATACTGTAGATATATTATGGATTTAATGGTGCAATTGCAATCTAGGGAGTCTTTAGAGTCATCCAAATTAACTAGTGTATATTGATGAGATAGCAAAACAGCTGAGCTCTGTAACCAAATTATCATGTATCACTATATCCTTCAACAAGATAACTTCGAGATTCAAGATGGCAAATAACTAAATCAGTTTTACGAAATAGATAGTACGTCGTTTATCGAGAATAAACCATGCAGACTATTATAAAGTAGACCAGGTTGAAGAAAAATAACTTTGAAAGCTTAGAGTGGAGGAGAGCAGAATTTATTACTAAGCAACCAGACAAAAGTAACCGGCGGTGAAGCTCGCGGCACCAGGCGGAGCACCGGCGGCTCCGGATCGTTTTGAAAACCTTGAATGGCAACATTTATCAATATGTTTGAAGTTGTGCACATGCATATAAAATAATTCCTGCATGGAACCCATCGTGTTTATAGTTGTTCTATTTATGTCCTAACAGTAAATTTTTTCCATAGAAAGAATAGAGCTCTAAGAAATGGACTTTGGATTCAAGATAGCGGTGTTCCTATTACTTCTTCTAAATCTAACAATGTTAAAGGCGAAACCATATCAAGAATCGAGGAAATTGTATAATACAGATCGATATATAAGAACGGTAGGTTTGTTTGTTTGTTTGTTTGTTTGTTTGTTTGTTTGTTTGTTTGTTTGTTTGTTTGTTTGTTTGTTTGTTTGTTTGTTTGTTTGTTTGTTTGTTTGTTTGTTTGTTTGTTTGTTTGTTTGTTTGTTTGTTTGTTTTGTTTGTTTGTTTGTTTGTTTGTTTGTTTGTTTGTTTGTTTGTTTGTTTGTTTGTTTGTTTGTTTGTTTGTTTGTTTGTTTGTTTGTTTGTTTGTTTGTTTGTTTGTTTGTTTGTTTGTTAATTGGTTTGGTTTGTGAGAAAGTTTGTTAGTAATTGGTTTGTGAGATAGTTTGTTAGTTGGTTTGTTAGATAGTTGGTTTGCTAGTTAGTAGTTAGTTAGTTTGTTTGTGAGATAGTTTGTTAGTTGGTTTGTTAGATAGTTGGTTTGTTAGTTAGTTTGTTTGTGAGATAGTTTGTTAGTTGGTTTGTTAGTTAGTTAGTAGTTGGTTATCTAATTGGCTAATACGTATACTAATTAATAAGCCGGTTGGTTAGTTAGTTCCATATTACTTTGGTTGGTTGGGTAGTGAAAACGTTATGGGTAAATATCCAGAATTTTGTGGCGTCTCACTTGAATGAATAATATTTGTTGGTCTTTGATGATTGGGTATTGTGCATGGAAATCGTGGATTGAAAATTTATACATTTATTAGACCTAAGCGAAAATGCAACTTTTAGGTCCCTGCATGGCTTCTGTGCTCTAACCAACTGAGCTACAGAGGCCAGTTGTCAAGCTCTAACCACCAAGTCTTGTATATACACTAGAGTACTGCCATGTATAGGTTATGGGTAAATATCAAGATTTTTGTGGCATCTCACCCCGAATGAATAATATTTGATGGTGTAGATGGAAATTGGCTGCATTCCGGAATCGCAGGTTCAATTCCTGCCAGGGACCTAAAAGTTGCATTTTTCGCTTCTGTTTCTGGTTAGGTCTGATAAATGTATAAATTTCCAATCAACAATGGACCATTCCCCAATTGACCAAAGTTTTGATCTCAACAAGTCTAGACAAAATCCATCATAGCATGAAAGAGCATCACAAAATTAGTAATATTCCAAAGTTTCGTTGCAAAATGTTATAAAATGCGGATAATATAGCCTTGCGAAGTTTGTAATTTTCAATAATTTTGTATTACGCACAGAAGTGGTAATCATTTAATTCCCGTTTGTAATCTAAAATGACTGAAAATTGCAAACTTCGCAAGGCTATATTATCCGCATTTTACAACATTTTGCCACGAAACTTTGGAATGTTACTAATTTTGTGATGCTCTTTCAAGCTGTGATGAAATTTTTGTCTAGACTTGTTGAGTTCAAAATTTTGGTTAATTGGGGAATGGTCCATTTCCATCTACAATACCCATCAAATAGTGCAAAGTTAGCTCTTCTTTCTTAAGACATATTTTGAACTGCTCAGTATTTACCGTCAAAATAAATCCCCCCTATCTGTCTTTTACAGACATGTCCTACAAAGCTGTTAAGCAAATGCTCATCACATACAGATTGCGATAAGTGCAATGAAGGTCTAAGATGCATAGGGAAAATTTGTCATAAAGATCGTGGAGGTAGTCCTCTCTACAGACGGCGAAAATTATGGAATTTTACAGCTTGATCTGAACAGAGTGATAAATTATTGCTGGACTCGGACACGTCTCAAAGAAAAAATTATTTATTGAATGAGTTTATTTAGCTGGAATTAAATACGCACCAACAAGTATATTTTATTGTACTGTAGTGTTTGAATTATGTCGCGCATTGTAAATAATGCGCATTAATATAAAAAGAGAATATCAATGTTGTCATGTAGTGTTTTAGTTGAATGTGTCCCTACCTTCGCCTTTGTGTCTAGCAGAATAGCACCTGCACCGTAAACAATCTGCTTCACTACATATCTTCTGCTTTTCGAATAGCGCAACTGCTACTGTTAGCACGTGTCAATTTTCTGAGCTCACGAGAAAATACTCAGAATGCTTTAGTTTAATAGATAGCTTAAGATCTACGACGTCGACGTCAGCTAGGATGTCAGGGCTAAGCAGAGGACTGGGACCAGGACGTCGTCCTAAATAAATAGTATAGCTTCGACGTCAAATATTTAGGGCGGCAAGCGAAAGTAAATTGGTAATAGTTTTTGCAGTGTGCATGTGTCTCTCTCAATTTGCTCGTCGTCCACCAAAGATCGACAACCTCACAATAAGAGTTTTTCCGTCGTGGATACAAGAGCATAACAAACGGCAATGGATTCACACGTCTCTTTTAAATTCATTTTCAAAAGGATGTAAATATTTATAGTTCAAATGTCTACGTCGTGAATCTTAAGTGGAAGTTTATTTATTTAGGACGACGTCCTAGTCCCAGTCTTCTGCTTAGCCCTGACGTCCTAGCTGACGTCGACGTCGTAGATCTTAAGCTATCTATTATCGTGGTTAAATATGTAAACACGACGAAGTTGTTTATATGCTGCCATATTTTCAAATATACTGTACTTTAAGCAACAGCGTGCTACAACAAATCATTAATTGTTGTTATCAAATCATTTGTCAAATGACTCGAGTCACGCACACGTGATAAAATGCCGATATAAACTTTACAACAAAACAAGTGATAATGCATAAAACGTAACAGAACGGTGAACATGCAGATTGGACCATCTCAAGTAATGGAATGGGATAGTAGTGTTGCAGACTGCAGAGGAAAGTGGGCAGTAAGGCTTAGTTTCTCATGCACCACCCCAGGAAAACTAGCCTGCGAACAGGCTCTCAAGCTGAATTGAGAGCCTGCATCGATGACTAATGAATTTGAATATCTGCCCCGTAACGTTCGTTTTTCCAAATATGGAATGTCTATCCTTATATGGTGTTGTTTACAACTTTCGTGCAAACTAAATTTAGACCGTGCAAACTAAATTTAGACCGTGCAAACTAAATTTAGACCGTACAGTTTATACTGTTTTTCGAAATATATGATACTCAAGCAAAAGTTCAAATGTTTTAAATACTGTTTTCTCAAAACAGAACATTTCGTGCTTTGAGAAAGATGGCCAAGACCAATTTGATCAGTTAATGTGTTTTTTATGCATAGTGCTTCAGCAGTTGACATATATAGAGCTCAGCGGAAACATATAAATTATAGCATCTGACCAATGAGAATTTCGCGTCACGATTTGAGACGCAGATATTCAAATTCATTAGTCATCGATGCAGGCTCTCAATTCAGCTTGAGAGCCTGTTCGCAGGCTACAGGAAAACCTGCACCTCTCCTTGCAGATGGGCCTAGATCCGCCCCTGGACTAATGGACATCGCGTAAGTTGATTAAATTTTGGTTAAATTTGGATAAATAACGTGGCAAAATAACGTAGCTAGGTTGTCTTTGTCATTCTGTACACATACAAAATATGAACAAAAAGATAGAGCAAAGAATCTTTTCGGATCATTTCTGGTTTGCCCATGTTCAAATATTTCAAACTTTAAACTTATTCACTGTAGAAGTATCTACTCACGGCACTTTGGTTACATTCTTTCTATTTTAACTTTGTTTTGTCCGTACAACACCCAGTGCTTGACCTAACTTAACTTTCTGTCCATGTTCAACTGTAAACTCAAAATCTTTTGGTCCTTCGAATATTAAGACTACCGCCGAACCCATCGCAAACCATCCGACATGGTCGCCCCGGTCAAGCGCCATGCTTTCACTAAACTTCCTTTCTTCAAAATGTTCCTTTTTAGCTTTCCTTTGGTTAGTCTTCAGTTCACTATCAAAGTGAATTTTTATCGAGCCAACATTGTATGCACCGACAGCAGTCATTGTAAATGCGCCATGCTTCCAATTACCACATAACGACACACGCTCGTTAGTGCAAAGTACATCTCTAAAGCCTTTTAAAACCCAAGGGGAGACGGAGTACAATTCTCCAGAGAAATGCCTACGGGATTCGACATGCCATTCTGTTGGGGAGTGAAAATGATGGCAATCTCCAGGACCCAAGTACAACACACAATGATAGAGGTTTTTGGTTTCGTCCAGGTGTGAGAATGTTGACTGAGGTCCAAGGAAGCTCTCAAGGGAGTATGGGATACCTTTAACCTGTTCGAGCTTTCCATCTATAAGACGTCCAAAATGTAGCACTCGGCCATCAACTGGACAAACCTGACATTGAAATATATGGAAAAATTAACCCATTAATACTCAACATTGTTCCCTTGACAAGTAAAACATGCTTATTCACTGGGTCAGGGTGTCAGTTTAGATTTTTGATTGTGTTTAAACCTTTTTTAAATATTTTTTTGTCAATAACTTAATATTTTATAATAATATAAGTGTTTTTTAAACTCTAAAGCTGCCAAATTGATGGTTTATCCCATTCTTGGTGAATTTTTAAGGTGAAAACAGAAATTTAAATCCGGCCGGATTTTCTCCAAATCCGGCCGGATACCGGATGCCGGAAAATTCGTTAAATCCGGCCGGAATTCCGGCCGGATTTGAAATCCGGTGCACCCCTACCAATTCCAGGTAAACATGGATATTTTTTTTACTTCTGGCTAACACACTGTGGGTACAATAGGGCACAATGTTATCATAAGCAAAATATTTTGATAGATATTCTGGCTGACCATTAAAACTCAACAATATATAATTAGCAAAGAGGGTGTACTGGCCAGGACACATTTCATAATATGTCAGATATGTCAATATTTAACCCTCTCCCCTCGACAAGTAAAATCGTCTGGCGTTAGACAGCGTAAAATAATAAAGTAGGGCATATCAGGGCGCAATGGGACTAATGAAAAATGCTATTAAATTGTGGTCATGAAAATGAGCTACAATGTATGTAAAAGAACATTTGAACCCATCAATATTATGAAAGTGGTCTATAACAAGCAAATTTGTGGATTAACCCAACATGTTCCCTTGACGAGTAAAACTGTCTAACCCATTTACACAATATGACTAGTCATATACGATTGTCATTCTGGCATATAAAAACGACTGCTTGACACCACTATTTTTATACACATTTATTCAGCACCATGCAGTGTGGAAAGTTTGCATTGTGCAACTGGGATATTGGGAATGCAATTTTGATGCCTTATACTGTATATATTTACTATCAAGTTTTCGAAATCTCGGCCTCGCAACTTCCAAACTTTCCAGTAGGTTCAAGTACATATGCCAGGATAAAAATTGTATACAACTAGTCATCAGAGTTCGTACACCTTCATAATTTAAAAAATCCAGGGTTTTCCAGGACTTTTTTCATCCTTTTTCCAGGGGTTTTCCAGGGGCATTTGAAATATAAATCTATAAGTGTTTAACAGATAAGAAACGTTCGCGATGGCTAGTACTTCATCTTGCACAGATACTTTTGGGTTTGTACCAGTTTGAACGAAATATATTCATAGTTTGACTATATATAATGCAAGAACCTTTTGTTCAATCTTTCTTTTTAAGATAGTCTTAAATAGTTTAGTTTTATCCTATACCCAGCTCAATTTCTCAGTTTTCCAGGGTTTTCCAGGGATAAATTTGAAATTCCAGGATTTTCAAGGGTTTTTCAAGACTAAAATAATTAAATAAAAATCCAGGGTTTTCCAGGATTTCCAGGGGGCATACGAACCCTGAGTCATATTGATAGTCTGAATTGAAGCGGTTAAAACATAAATAATATCAACAAAAATCATAACAAATAAATTGCAGATTTACCAGGTCAGAGATTTTCTCAATATCACGAACACCCTGCTTCAATTTTCTTGTAAAAAATGCACTGAGATTTGGGTATTTGCAAGGGTCGTCTTCTTCTGCCTCGTCCAAACAACAGCCAAACGACCACGTCCACAAACGAACAACAGGACCTCTTAACGAGGCTGGCAATTCAATTTCATGAACCGCTCCCCATAACCTCGACAATGTTCTGGTGGGGACGACTTTGAACAAATTTACTTGCCAGGGGGGCATGCCCTTCTCCGAATGCTCTTTTTCCAGGGGGGTGTATTTCCGTCTTTCCCGCTCTTGAATGTGTCGGAGCTGAATGAAAGAAATTAGTGCAAATCCGACACCAGCCGGCATCCAGAACCATTTAATTCTTGATGATGGCTTTGATGTACTCTGCCCATTTGTAGAACAAAACCGAGGATCGCTCAATCGAGGCACATGCCCACATTTCTTGAAACAACAAACAGCACTTTTGGCTTTCCTAGTCCAGATTGGTTGAAAAACAAGTCCAGAGAAAAACAACCTTGACATACTGTATTAGTTGCAAAACACTGTTTCTGTTTCAAATGTTTCAGTAAATTGTTCTTCTTTATGGATTTCGGCCACAAAAAAAATGAATCAAAATGTCTAAAACGCAGCCGCCATATTTAATGCCCAGCTCAATGAGATCTATTTACGGGGGGTTACAGTTATTGCCGTTTTCTGTTTAAATGCAGAGCAAAAATATCGAAAAAACACTTTTAAAATATAGTTTGAGGAGTTTAAATTGTTAAAAATTAGTTAGTAGGGCACATAAGTTAATTCAGATTATTTGAATTTATACTAAGTATCCCCAAAATTAATCTACAACGTTTTATAAATATATCACTAAACACCGCCGGACGCCGGTGGGTCGCCGGTCAGGTCAACATTTTTAAAATAACATTTCAAAAGATATATTAGGATTAAAAACAAACGTAATATAAAACAAATATCCCTACCTTATTCTGACAAATTTTTCAAAGATTAATTCCCATTTATATAACTTTAATTAATTAAAAAGTTGAGATTAAAAATCGTCTTGAAAAACTTTCTTGCGCGAGGAACTGCCATAACGATGTCCACACCCCCCTGCCGTTCTCAGACACGTGGCTACATTTGAACATATATTATATATTTGTATGATTTTGAAACATTGAGCATTTAATTTCTTTCCAAAATGTTTCGAGGATTTTCCCGTGTTCTTTCAAACTACTCAGGTATTTGATGACATTTTTGTCCAATTTTGAAAACTGTAAAATTGATCAAAGTATAAATATTAAAATTTTGCTTTGATTGTCAGATTATATATTGAGGTTTATACTGTGTTATAAATATGATCATGACGTTTGGTTTTACATACAGTATAATAGAATTGCCTTGGACTTCTAATCATTTGCTTTTAATGCTTAAATTTTCTGATTCTCTTCACATTATTTTTTAGCTATCTCAACTTTACCCAAATGTGTTTGTTCAAATATTCAAGCTTCTCTGAAGGTTGGAAAATGGATACATATGCAGTGTTAATTAAACCAATGATATGAAGGAATATATACGGTTTAAAATAGTGCATCTCAGTACAAAAATCTATTTCTCTGTAACGAGAGATATCTCTGATCAGTAGCGTAGCCAGCCCAACGATTTAGTCCCGCTATGCAAATATTTTCGTGTTCATTGATTGTGAAAACAATCAATTTCTAAAGAAATGAATAATGATAATAATTTTGAATTTGCATAGCGGGACTACATTGTCGGGCTGGCTACGCCACTGTCTCTGATATATACAATTTGCCATAGCTCAGTTAAATTATTGGCATGTCCCGACTAGAATTCAAAGTCTGGCTATATGTTAAGTCATGGCTGTGCATGGATGCTGCCCAGCGGGCAAAATGACGTTTATCCAACGTTGAATCAACGTTGGAAATGATCTTCCAGACGTTGGATAGACGTTGAAAAAGGGTTGACTATGCAAATTGGATCGACGTTACTGTTTCGACGTTGAAGCAACGTTGAAATTAGGTTGCCAATCTCGTCAACCATAATTCAACGTTGAATCCACGTTAAAACAACGTTGAGATTGGTTCACAAATCGACGTCGTACATTTAACCATGAATGAACGTTAATTCAACGTCTGTTGACTACTGTTGAACCAATGTTTGTAAAACAACGTCAGAGCAACGTAGATATTAGGTTGTCGACGTTGCAACCTTTTTTCTACCACATTTCAACGTTGAAACAACGTCGTGTGCCCGGTGGGTGTGGTCTTGCCAATTGTCATAACCAGCACCACCGAGAGGTTGCACCGAACCCGGGACAAAACTTTTCCAGGGGGGGCCCTATGATGTCATGATTGTAAAATGAGAGAAGCAGTGTTTTACAAGATTTGACACTTTATCACTTTATTGCATTTTATCTGACACTAATGCAGCTTGGATTTATAATCCCAGTTATAAGCAATCTTGTATCAAAAAATTGTAAGGGTCTTTGTTGCTGTGGGGTGGGACCCAGGGAAAAGTGATTCCCCTCTTGGTAGCCTTGGTCATAACAGATGTAATCTGGGATTGATATACCGGTACCTGATATAAGGAACAGTTAACAAATTGATTTTTCCTGCAATTTCGCATTACTTGTTCCTGGAATGTTTTGTCTGGGCCTGGCTTGCTCATCAAATGTCTCATACTATGAGTTCAGTTTTAGTTTATTCCAAATAATTTATTTATTAAACGGAAATCATTTGTGAATCGGATGCACATGTGCATTGCTGTTTAATCCATTAAGCTGCAGAGCTTCCCAATTTATGAGTAAAATCGTCTGGTACTGTACGTGTTAGACAAGTAAAAAAAAGTAGGGCACATTGCGGCTCAATGGGTCAACTAGAGACATTGTTAGATTTTTTGGTTAACCCATTATTAAAGCCGCAGAGCTACCCCATTGACGAGTAAAACATCTGGCATTAGACAAGTAAAAGAAAAGTAGGGTGTATTGTGGCTCAATGGGTTAATGAGGTGACACATATGATTCATTTTGGAAAGATATACTCCAAACCATGCAATACATGCAGGCATATTGACAGTGTACTCATTTATTTAACCCAATAATGTGCAAGACTCCTCTAGCATTAGGCAGAGTAGAATAACAAAGTCAGTGGCATTTGGGCGAGCATCGCAGCTGATTAGAATTGGTTTTAAAAAACCTTAATTGGCATAAATTTATTTTTATTTGCAGCTGAAGCATGTCAATATTTATAGAATATTGTCAGGTTAGTAATAAACCATAAATCAAACCTGAAATTTAAAAAATGTCTATGAAATTCAAAATTAAACACATGTAAACTGATATCAGCAATGTGTGTCATTTGTTCTGCAGTCCGTGGTTATGCTGAACCAGCAAAGAAAGCAACATTTAGTCGTGAAAAACCTCATGTAAATATCGGAACTATTGGTCATGTTGATCATGGGAAAACCACATTGACTGCTGCTATCACTAAAGGTAGGTCCGATGAGGAGAATTTAATTTTGATAATATGTATTATACCATAGGTAAGATAATACATACAAGGGCGGATTTTCATTTTTTTAAAAGGAAGGGTGGAAAAATTTCTAGCGGGTTGCAAGCGGCACCACTGTTGGGCAGGGATTAGGCGTTAGGGTTAAATACTTTCACACAAAATAGAAGGGGTGAAGTGAAATTTTGGTAGGGTTGAACACTTTATAAGAGGGGTTAGAGAGATTCTAGGGGGTTAAACCCTAACCCCCCCCCCCCTCCCCCCATCACCACCAAAGAAATCATAATCATGAAGGAGTTTATATATCTGATACAAAATCATGCTGATTTACATCAACTTTAAGTTTAATCTTCTTACCAAATGTCTTTAATTTATTTTAAATCGTTACAGTCAAACCGGACATCCCACAATATTGCAATTTTGATAGGCAGATTGCTCTGAGAAAATTGCAACCGACGCAAACAAATTGCAAGTTGGAAATTCACAAAAGATTTGTAAACAAAGCCTCTGATTGGATAGCCTGCGAACAGGCTCAAATCGTGACACGAAATTCTCATTGGTCAGATGCTATAATTTATATGTTTCCGCTGAGCTCTATATATGTCAACTGCTGAACTATGCATAAAAAATGACATTAACTGATCAAATTGGTCTTGGCCATTTTATCTTAAAGCACGAAATGTTCTGTTTTGAGAAAACAGTATTTAATTTAAAACATTTGAACTTTTGCTTGAATATCTTATATTTCGAAAAACAGTATAAACTGTACGGTCTAAATTTAGTTTGCACGGTCTAAATTTAGTTTGCACGAAAGTTGTAAACAACACGATATAAGGATAGACATTCCATATTTGGAAAAACGAACGTTATGGGGCAGATATTCAAATTAATTAGCCATCGATGCAGGCTCTCAATTCAGCTTGAGAGCCTGTTTGCAGGCTACTGATTGGATTATGAGAAAGAGGGAAGCCAATCAAGTAGTCTGAGCAACTGGATTGGTGCTTCCCCCTTTCTTATAGTCCAGTCAGAGGCTTTGTTAACAAATCTCTTGCGTCGGTTGCAAATTGCTCAGAGCAATCTGCCTATCAAAATTGCAATATTGTGGGGCAATATTGCAATGTTGCTCGCAAGAGAACATCCGGTTTGACTGTAACATGGCTAGAAAGTAATGTTCCAATCCATCTTTGAGAAACAATTGGCTAGGAAATTAAACAACCACCGGTAAATGTTTCCTGGTTGGTCCACCTTTGAGAAACATGGCTAAGAAATAATGTTTCCTGGTTGGTCCACCTTTGAGAAACAATTATGGCTAAGAAATAATGTTTCCTGGTTTGCCAACTTTCAGGAAACATGTTATAAGGAAACAATGTTTCCTGGTTTGTTCATTTTTGGGAAACATGGTTAGAAAACAATATTTCCTGTTTGTTCACCATTGAGAAACATTGCTAAGAAACAATGTTTCCTGGTTTGCCAACTTTCAGGAAACATGGTACTGTTTCCTGGTTTGTCCATTTTGGGGAAACATGGCTAGCAAACCTTTTCAACAATTTTTTAGTCTTGTCCGGGGCTGGTCAAGCGAAGTATAAATCTTACACTGACATTGACAACGCCCCTGAAGAAAAAGCGAGAGGAATAACGATCAATACAGCCCATGTTGAATATGAAACAGAAAACAGACATTATGGTCATGTAGACTGCCCTGGTCATGCTGATTATATTAAAGTAAGCTACAGTGTTTACTGGTCCAATTTTAATACAGATGTTGTGTTTTATTCACACTATCGAAGTTTCTGTGCATGAATTAGGAATTTTGCATAATATGTAAATTCTAAGTTTTAATTAAAGGTTGTAAGAAATGTTTGAGGAAACTACTGTAGCTGACTCAGAGTTAAACAATGAGTCTGTTCCTTAAAAATTTTCTTACAATCCTTCAAAACGTACAATTTTTTACAATTTACCTATGCAAAATTGCTGCTGTGATCACAGAAACTTTGATAGTGTAAACCAGCCTTTCGCGTAAACGTACTGTACCACGCAATTACATGTATAATTTTTCTCAGAAGATGATTCATAAATTTTCTTTGTCAATATATACTGTCAGGGCTGCAAATTACTGTCGGACATCGGACAATGTCCGGCTAAATTTGACAAATGTCCGAGCAAAAGTAATTTTGACCGAACATTCGTCCGATCACAAAAAAAAATTGTCACATTATACATTTTTTTGCTGTCAGTGACAAAATCCGATTGCAAATTCACTCAATTTGGCATTCTAGCATTTTACTTCACGTTGCGCCGGAATGGCTATACATACTTGTCTCGTGACTTATATATATCTTGTGACATATATAGTGGTGTTGGTTTTTGTCCGACCAAATTCAAGTTATGTCCGACCAAAATTAAAAGTGATCGGACAAATGTCCTGTCAAGTCAAATATTTATTTGCAGCCCTGTACTGTAGTTGTAAACTTTACCACCCATCTGCTAGGCTATTCCATAACGCTTTTGAATAAAACTCACACTAAAGGAATGTTGAATGTTATGTTTTTGTCAGAATATGATAACGGGCGCAGCTCAAATGGACGGAGCGATCTTGGTCGTTGCTGCTACTGATGGTCAGATGCCACAAACTAGAGAGCATTTACTGCTTGCTAATCAGGTACTGTAGTGTACACTGCTTACAGCTCGTCAATAAAATAAGACGTGTTCACACTGCTTGTTCCCACTTGTTAACAAGTCTGGAACAAGTTGTTATCATCTTGTAACAAGGTTGATGAGGCCAACAGACTTGCAACAATTTGTTTTAACAAGTCTGATATCATCTGCACGTAACAAGTTGTTAACTACTTGATGACAACAAGCTCGTAGAAAGTTGTTACGAACAGCCTGTATTAGTGTTGTTGGAACAACTTGTAGCGAGTGTGTTACCGTCATCAACCTTGTGACATGCAGGGTGATAATAACTTGTTCCAGTCTTGTCACAACAACTGGGAACAAGCATGAAAGTGCGAACACATCCTGACATCGGCTTGACAACAATCTTGTTGCAACTGGTTTGCAGATTTGTAACAGCTTGCACGTTTTTACGTGTGTAGCATAGCGTAGTGTACTATGATATATATGTACAGTATACTGTATTCCATCAGTGTTTTACAGTAGTACAGATCCAATGCATACTATTGTAGGTTTCACTATTATTGTCGTGTTTAGGTTGGAGTGAAAAAACTTGTAGTTTATGTGAACAAAGCAGACATGGTTGAAGATCCAGAAATGTTAGAGTTGGTACGTATACAGTACTGAGATGGTATTCTATAATCGTGTACACACATACTCAGGGATGCCGGAAGATCGATAATAGCGGGTGCAGATATTCATATATTCGTGTTCACAGACTGTAAAAACAATCGATTTCGAAAGAAATTAATTGGGCAGAACGCGAATATATGAATATCTGCACCCGCTATTATCGATCTTCCGGCATCCCTGCACATACTGTAGAAACGCACAAGTTGTAACAAACCTGCAACAGACTTGTAGCAATGCTGTTCCAACAACTTGTCATCAGGATGTGTTCACACTGCTTGTTCCCAGCTTGTTGACAAGTTGTCAACGACTTGTTGACAACTTGCTACAAGGTTTATTGAGTTCAACAGACTTGTTACAAGTTGTTCCAACAACTTGGTATCGTCCTGCAATTCACAATTTGTCAACAAGTTGTGAGTGACAAGCTTGTAGCAACCTGATAAAATAACAGCATTGTTACAACTTGTTGACAAGCTTGCTACAAGCCTGTTGCGAACACATCTTGTTGACAAGTTGCGTGATTTTTGCGTGTGTACCTCACAGGTTGAACTTGAGCTTAACGAACTTCTGCCGACGTTCGGTTACGACGAAGACACTCCAATCATCATTGGTTCGGCACTCTGCGCCCTGGAAGACCGCAATCCAGAGATTGGACTGGAATCTGTGAAAAAACTCCTCGAGGCAGTCGACTCGTATATCCCTACACCCCCACGTGATCTGGATAAACCATTCCTGATGCCTGTCGAAGACGTGTACTCGATTGCCGGTCGGGGCACGGTCGTGACAGGCCGTATTGAACGGGGCGTTGTCAAGAAAGGGGACGAGGTGCAGTTTGTTGGACATAAGAGTGGTACTAAGACCGTGGTTACAGGTAAGACCAATGTATTCAGCATATTACTGGAACATAGTCAACCAGTGGTTTTGGTTTTTTTGGGACACCCTGTACAGTATACTGTGACTTTAATCAAAAGGTTTGTGTTAGGAAGAGGAGGGGCACCATGCAATGGACTTTACGTCCAGTTTGTGCCTTGTCCGTTTGAGTACAGCACTTTTAATTGCATGTTTAGATGAATTTTGTTGAATTAATTTGTATTCAATAAAGTTCAACAAACAGACACAGCTCAACCTGATCCAGTTGAAGGCTTACTAAGGGCGGCTCTGGCAACCACCTTATGACTCATGTCTGGTCACGGAGGGCGGCTCTGGCAGCCACCTTATGACTCATGTCTGGTCACGGAGGGCGGCTCTGGCAACCACCTTATGACTCATGTCTGGTCACGGAGGGCGGCTCTGGCAGCCACCTTATGACTCATGTCTGGTCACGGAGGGCGGCTCTGGCAGCCACCTTATGACTCATGTCTGGTCACGGAGCATAGCTACTGTGGAAGGGTTACTTAGGGGGCTAATATTCAGAAACACTGAACCAAGTTTCGTTGACTTTGTATTCTTCAAACTCGATAAACAATCTTGTAAAAATTAGGAGAGTAGTAAGGTGTTTCAATTTAGAACAGTTAAGAGTGGCTCTCAATCAGCATATCAATCATTCAACAATATTAATCCTTCGAATTTTCGAAAGTTAAATTATAACAAAGTCAAATTTTCGATTTTTCTTTAAGGTCTTGAAATGTTTCACAAAACGCTAGACCGAGGGGAGGCTGGTGACAACTTGGGAGCTTTAGTACGTGGTATAAAGCGAGATGAAGTGAAGCGTGGTGTTGTGCTATGCGTCCCTGGTTCAGTGACCTCACATTTTAAGTTTCAAGCTGAGGTATAGTTCTGTGTTACATAAGATATTGTATAAACGTTTAAGCCTATCAAACACCACAGGTGGACCTCTAGAGAGAACTATTTAGAACTGATAGATCTATCCAGTCTAAATAAAGTTAAGTTTACTCCTGTAGACTAGTAAGTAGTAAAACTGGATCAATCAGAGATGATCCTTACTGGACCCCTATAGGGAGAACAGTTCAGAACTGATCCAGTATAAATATATCCAGTATAAATATAAATAAACTTACTGTAGTTTAGTTAAGTTTAGGTTTATTCCTGCACTAATATTGGATCAAACAGAGATGGCCCTTACTGGACCTCTAGGGAGAACATTTTAGAACTGATAGAGCTATTATATAAAGTTAGTTTAGTATAGGTTTCCGCTTGTAGTAACACTAGATCAATTAGAGATGATCATTACTGGACCTCTATGGAGAACAGTTTAGAAATAATCGAGCTATCCAGTCGAAATAAGTTTAGTTTAGGTTTACAGTACTCCTCTAGTAACACTGGATCGATCAGAGATGATCCTTACTGGACCTCTAGGGAGAACAGTTTAAAACTGATAGAACTATCAAGTACTGCATAAATAAAGTTAGTTCAGTTTAGGTTTGCTCCTGTAGTAACACTGGATCAATCAGAGATGACCTTTACTGGAGTTACAATATCATGCATGGGCGGATTTACTGGGGGGGGGGGGTTAGGGGGGTTAACCCCTCCCCTTAGAATCTATCTAACCCCTCTTATAAAGTGTTCAACCCCACCAAAATTTCGCTTCACCCCTCCTATTTTGTGTGAAAGTCTTTAACCCTAACGCCTAACCCCTGTAAAAAGCTCGCTCAGTGGTGCCGCTTGCACCCCACTAGAAATATTTCCACCCCTCCTTTAAAAAAATGAAAACCCGCCCTTGAGTTACATGTATCCAGTATAAATGAAGATATTTAATAAGTCTTGTTTATATAAGTTTAGGCATGGTTCCTATACGGTAGTTTATAGATGTAATCATTGCCTTTTTACATTCGGAAAGTTCTTTCAAAACGCAACCAACTAAATTTTACTTCTGTGTTACAACTAGGTGTACATTTTAAAGAAAGAAGAGGGAGGTAGACACAAGCCATTTGTAACAAACTACACTCCTCAGATGTTCGTCCGTACTGGCGACGTCGCTGCGACGATAACTCTCCCAGATGACAAGCAGTTTGTGATGCCGGGAGAAAACGCTAATCTTAGCTTTGAACTTATGTGGGACATGCCTCTCGAAGTGGGACTCAGGTTTACATTACGCGAGGGTAGTAAGACTGTTGGTACTGGGGTGGTCACAAAACTTGGCGATTAAACAAAGTATTCAGTATCATAAGTTATAGTGTGTAAGTAATATCGGTACCTCTCAGAAGATCTTAATACTCTACCTGAACCTCAACGAGAACGGTTTATTCGCTTCCATACCATTAGAAAACTGTAATGATTGATCATGCAAGTCTGTTTTAACAGACTCAGTATAATTATATGAGAGATAAGTGATGAGATTTAACAATGTATTCCCATACCCTTTATATATCTTCCGATAACTATACTGGATTCGTATAGTTGAATCTTTATCAACCGAAGTTTTTAAGCACTACCTACACTAGCACAGGATTTTAACATATACATAAGCATGGATTTTGGTATATATATGTACATAGTTAATATATTAACTATGATATATAAGCGTGCTCATGAGTATATTGGATTTTGGTACAGTATACACAGTATATATGCTCATGAGTATATACTGGATTTTGGTGTATATATATATATAAGCGTGCTCATGAATATCCTGGATTTTGGTATATAAATGACCGTGCTTATGAGCAGTGGGGTCAAGTAACGAAGTAAATGTACTTCGTTACTGTACTTGAGTACTATTTTTGAGAAGTGAGCATGTAACAAAGTAAACTTTTTCTGGAGTACTTTTACTTGGAACGAAGTCGTTTTAGGAAGTAACGTTTTACTTCGTTATTTTCATTTTGTGGCGAAGTATTTCGTTACTTTCTAACTTTTGTTTAATTTTACGTGATTTATTCCGATTTATTTTAATTTTGGGATAGGTAATAGGACCTCTACATGCGTCTGGGATCTCTTGTTTGTGGCTTACGTATAAGCATTTATTTAATGGATTTCTTATCTCTTGAACGGAGTCTGGAAAGAAGACCATGCCGTGAAATATTGTATTTTTGTCATTTGTATGTCAAATCCATTGGAAAAGCCCCCCCCCCCCTTTTACACACTACAGACAATTATAGTACTTTTACTTTTTACTTCAAGTATTTTTTAAGGATACTTTGTACTTAAGTACGTTTTGCCTCCAGTACTTTTTACTTTTACTCAAGTTCTTTTATTGTTAATTACTTCTACTTTTACTCGAGTACAAACAGGGCTTTCAGAATTATTCAGAGTAGGCGTCTGTTTTGATAAAGTAGGCGGCTGTTGGAAGGGGGCGGTCTAAAATTTGAGACTTGGAAAATTGATTGACCCCCAATTTCCATAGCTCACCCCCACCTACACTTCATGACCAGTCCCTCGCTTCCATTCTTCAACAAAGTAACTTCAAGATTTAAGATGGCAAATAACTAAATCAGTTTTACGAAATAGTACGTCATATTCGAAAATAACCAGGCTATATAAAGTGGACCAAGTTGAGGAAAAATAACTTTGTTTGAAAGCTCAGAGTGGAGGAAGGAGAGCAGAATTGATAATTCAAGTACTAAACACAGTAACCGGCGGTAAATTTCGTGCCTCTCCGGCGGCCGCCGGGTTATTTTGAAAGCCCTGGTACAAATTCAATGTAATTTAGGCACCACTGCTTATGAGCATACTGCATTGTGATATATATATATGAGCGTGCTCATGAGTGTACTGGATTTTGGCAAAATTTTAACAGCATTTACGATTAGCATTTCTGTAGCGCAAATTGACATGTGGGTATGATCAAATGAGCTTCATTTAAAGCAGGCACGGATTTTCTGGGGAGGGGGGGTGCGCACCCCCCCCCCCACAGAAATGATTTGCACCACCCCCCAGAGGCATTTGGCACCGCCCCCAAAAGTTTTTGCACCCCCGCAAATTATATATATATTTTGATTTGATAGTTTCATATTTGATTATTCTTACTACCAAATTTGTAAAATTACCAATATTATGGTCTCAGATCTCGCCATGCAGGTCTAGAAAACAAATTTTGTTAAACTTTTTCCTTGGCCTTTCCGGGCGTTGCCACCAGGCCCCGGCCAAAGCAAGCAGCAGCACCCCCTCAGATATATATCCACCCCACCCCCCGAACGAAAATATGAAAATCCGTCTCTGATTTAAAGGGGTATTGTTTATCGTGACAAGAAGGTCCTGTTTTGGTACTGGCTGGTGCATGCAATAATTAAATTATATTGACCAAAAAACTACAGACAGTTAAAATACCAAGGTTAAAATACTCATTAATAATTTATAAACCTTAGTAGTTAAATGACAGGACTTACGTAAGTTTCAGTGACGGTTCAGGAGTACCTTGAAGACAGTATAAATAATATGTCACGTGGAGTGACTTTATATCTGATAAAACACATGTGACATATAATTGTTCATCTTAATTAGTATTCTTATATAAAGAATACTAATGAGACGGCATCTTTTGTAGTCATCTGTTGACAGGGTGGGTTAGGCACATAGGTCTGGAGGCAGATCATAAATGAGGTATGGACTAATAGCGGCTGCTCAAGCGCCATTTGTAAGCTCAAAGTCTACCTCGGTCTGCTTCACATCAGTCCGGTTCTATCTATCTATTCACAATGTAACCAGTCACTGAAAAGCCCTGATATAGGGAGTGTGCTGTGAAATATCTGTATCTATTCAAAACACTCGTTGTCGTGTTTTATCAGATATAACGCTCGGCTACGCCTGGCGTTTTATATGTAATAAAACACTCCTACTCGTGTTTTAAATAGTACTTAAAATAGTATTAAAAACAATTTTAATAGTCTAAAAACTCAAATGTTAACAATTTTCATCAAATAAGATATATACTACATATTAAAATTATTAATATTTCATTTCAAACACGTTCTAGAGAAAAGTGAAATATTCTATTTAAATTATTCTATTTAATTTCTATTTAAACTAAATTAGTTTCTCTCTATTATTTACACATGAATTTTAAATGCTACATTTGCATGTAATTTAGAAAGTTTGTTTCTTTACTATCTGTAGGAAAGATCGAACTTGATATACTCAGAGATTTACTCTTGTCGTCAAGTAATAACTAGTACTTAAAATACTTATTAATAATTCATGAAGAAAATTCAAAAGAAATGAATGTTTGATCAATGTTTGTAAATCGCATAAAGATTTGTCCTGATTCACATAAACATCAGCTTTGATTTTCTCGGCTTAGACAATGTTTATTTTTAAAGGTGATCTACAGTCGTATGTAAAGCCTTTGTTTACATTTTTGTATCCAAAATATTGAGCTTTATTCGACAACTATTTATATTTTCAAGCTTCTAGAGTATAATAAATGATCAAGAAACAACAATCAGGCTTTTCAAGAACTCAAAACATAGTTAAACTGTTTGTATCATAAAAAGTGGGCTCATTTGTGTACATGCGCAGATCGGACTGTAGATCACCTTTAAAATTACTTCGCCAATGAACTCATAAGATGGGTTGTTTTTTAAGTACGTTCAACTGACATTCGCATCCGATCTTTATCTGATGTACAAACTCTCGCCTTCAGCTCGATTTTGTATATCAGATAAAGTTCGGCTAGCCGCTCATGTTTTAACTAGTACTTATCAAATTTAAATTACATATTTACAGTTAAAATGGATAATCTCTAAAAAATTTTCTGCTTTGACTTTTTTTGTAAATTGAGCCCGCACTCCGACTTAAACGTCTTCGTCGACAATTACGTCATTACTCAACTTCAACGTGGAACTCTTCTGCGCACGCTCCCTCTCAAATGCTTCGTACAGCGGATTACCAAAGTTGGTTACGTCTTGACTGTATGACCCAACAGGCTCGTGGTAATGACTGGAGCTCTCCTCAGGCTCTGGCTCATTGACGCTATCTTGAGCCGGGTTACTTTCATACCCCGGATTCTCACAATTCGCGATGACGTCACCATTTTCGTGGCTCCCGTAAACCTTTAGGTCAGTTGCGTCCTCATCTGCATCCAATTTTATCTCTATAAAACCCGAACTACCAACATACACTGGGCTTGTTTGGTACTCTGGGTTCTCGGTGGTAACAGGGGATGTCGAACTAGAAGCGTACATAGGATTCTCACAATGTCCCGTTTCACCCTGGCCATCCCCTTCGTCTTGAAATCCCGGATTATTCCATGAATTCAGTTCCATTCCATTGTCGGATACGACCACATTTTTGTCGTCTATCGGTTCGCTAGATTTTCTTGCGTTGCGTCGTCTTCGCACGAAATAAAGTAAAACCAGAGCCAACAAGCCTTCAGTAAAAAATCGTGATATCACTTATTAGTATTTTTGCACAAGTGAACATAACAAATCCTACAAGGTGATTGGTCAAATTTGACGTATTAATCTGTTATATTCACCTACAGGTGAATATAACAAAATCGAAATTTTCAAAATGGCGGCTAGCCGTTTTGTTGAAGTTAGTGATAAAGAAATAAGCGAAATTAAAATGAATTCAGACCAGAAAAACACAAAAAACTTGTGCAAAAATACTAAAACTTCGTCTCGGCGAACATTCCCCGATAATCACCGAGCCTGAGGCGAATAATTGTTAAATGTCCCAAGAGAAATAGTTTTTTTTAACCGAGTCTCAATGTTTGCCGAGACGAACTCGAGGGAAACATTGAGATTCGAGAACACGGGGGGGGGGGGAGGGCATATAATAATAATAATTATATTTATCGAGGATATCCACATCACATACGCGTTTTTCAGTGGGGTCCTGCATCGAAACTACAATTATTTACAATAATAATTGTCAGTATTTAAACCGTATAAGAATATACAAATGTATACATGCACGGTACAACAATGATAAAACGAACAATTAATTTATAATTCATAAATTTTTAATTTAGTCAGCAAGCTGTATGAGACACCCCTCGGATGGTTAGGAAAGAATAAATCATTCAGTAGTTAGTATACATGTAAGCTTAGGGAAACAAAGGGACATGGCGAATTCCCCCCTCATCTGTAAATAAGTTTTGACTTAGGTTCTCTGTACGTTTGCATGGCGATAAAACATACAATACTTTTGTTTGTGGAAACACCACGTAAATTTATTACTGCAAAAAAATACTGAAAATAAAGAAATTCTTATCTTTTTTTCTTTAAAGTTTGTTTTAATTGCATTCATTACTTTTTTTCAGTAATAAATTTACGTGATGTTTCCACAAGTATTATATTATAAATTTTAACTTACACATGAATAAAAAGCCGCCAACGGCTCCGCCAATTGCAGGTGTATGACTCCCATTGTCTGAATTACTCAGAGCTCCAGGTGAAGGTATTACTCTTTCACCTGTAGTCACTTGACTTTCTTTATCAGTTGTTCTTGCTTTCTCGGCTGTTGTTCGTCCTTCCGTAGGTGTTTCTGTAGGTGTTTCTGTAGGTGTTTCTGTAGGAGCTTCTGTAGGTGTTTCTGTAGGTGTTTCTGTGGGAGTTTCTGTAGGTGTTTCTGTAGGTCGTTTTGTAGTTGTAGGCTCTACATTTAAAGAAAAAGAAAACAATACAGTAAATACCCGCATAAAAGAACCAGTGCATGGGTTGTGAGAACAAGCAGCCTCAATTTAGGCAATGAAGCATCCAACATACCAGAACTACTTTAGGTATCAGAAGATACATAGTTGATAGTTACCATGGCAAATGCAAAAACAGATCTATTGTTTGGTACTCAATGAGGATACATTCTATGTCATGCATTCTATATAAAACTCGGAGGCTTTCAAAGAGCAAGTATTGGTGCTACTGTCAACAGCTCACTGATTAAGGAAACAAACCATTTGAAACACTGAGCAATTGTTTTTGACTGGAAATAAGAACCAGTTAAGAACCAACTCAGCCTGATTTCTCACTAAATACCTATTATATAAGAACCACTTCAGCCTGACATCAAAATTAGTGGTCCTTTTATGCGGCTCTTTATTGTTTTTGCATAACATTCTCACGCATGGAAAATACAGTGGCATTTTTTAAAATAATGAAAACACGAATCGAATCACCGAAACGTAACTGGGTGGCACTAATGGTTTGCTAAGTTTGTTTCCTAGGAAACACCACGTTTACAATTTAAGAAATTTATCATTAAGATAACGAATAAGTTGCTTTTCTAGCTTTAGTCTTTAGCTTGCCTTCCGTATAAATGATGTATGCACGATACTGACCAACCTTGTTCCCAGGCTTCTACCTCTTGTGGAGGAAACACCCTGGTGGGAGCTAGTCACGTGATCTGCTAAAATCTAGCAGATTTTTAATTGTTGATGATGTTGATAAATATTTGATATTTATAGTTCCTACCAGGGTCTTTCCTCGACAAGAGCCTGGGAACGAGGTTGGATTCCAACAGTATTTTAATCTGTCGTAATCGGCCATGGAATTTTCTTGGACGAAATTTAATTTCGTAGCTAAAACCTTTTTCTATCGTTTTTTATCCGTTATTAAACACGCAACTTAACAAGTCACAGCGAATCTATGCGTACCTGAAGGAATTGGATTTATTAACCCCATGAGTGGCAACCCTCTCCCCTTGGCAAGTAAAATCGTCTGGCGTTAGACAGAGTGAAATAAACAGGCGTTAGACAGAGTAAATAATAAAGAAGGGCACATCCAGGCGCATTGCCACTTCAAGGGCAATGGGTTAAATAAAAACTTAACGGGTTAAATCATTAACAATATATGGGGGCTTCGGTGGTGCGGTCGTCAGAGGGAGCGCCTTTCACCCCTGAGATCGTGGGTTCGATTCTCGCTACGGACTTATATGAAAGGAGTCTGTCAACACTCTGCCGAAAGTCGTGGGTTTTCTCCGGGCGCTCCGGTTTCCTCCCACAGGGCAAGTTGACAGGATGGGTTAGGATAAACACAGTTAGGAAAGTAATACCTCAATGGACGACTTGCGCTTTAGAAAAATTTTTAATCTGGGAATAACAAAGGATATTTTCGGAAAGAAGTTATCAAAATTAGAAAAACTGCAAAGTT